GTTGGGCTCTCCTCGGCAAACTGGTTGAACTATAAATTCCGGTTTGTTTCTTGGAAATCTTTTGAGATCGTGGCTAGCAAACGAAGGGGCATGGGTACCATCTCCTTGGATAACAATTTGTTTAGATTCATTTGTTGTGCAGTACTTGACGATATTCTGTTTTGCACATATGGCAATGCTCATGGAGTTTTGGGCTCTCCCCGGCAGGCCGGTGGGTATGTACCCGCCGTCGTTTGCTTGTTTGAATACTTTAAGATCGTTTGCTGGCTAACGCGGGGGCATGGGTTCCATCTCTGTGGATATAACTCATCATTGACATTCGTAATATCCAGCAGTCTTCTTGCAAGCTAAGTCGTTATTCTTTAGTTTTATGAAGTCTGGGCCTGAAGCATATGATATTCTGTTGTTATTCGTGCTTTGTTTAAAACTAACAATTACACTGTTTGTTTCTGTTTTTTTACGGTACGCCTTGAGCGTATTTAATGAAAATGAAAATGAAAATGAAATTTCTGTGCCGGGAATGGATCATATATGTTGCGTTTGAGCAATCTGTTAGTGAAGGCCTTTAGAGCACATTACTTAACGCCTAAAATGGCTATAACTTCATGCAGTAAAATTTTTAACAAAGCCAAGGTAGAAGTCCTTTCACTGAATCTTCTCCATTGTTGTGAAACTGCAGAGATAATGATGTTCTGAGAGTAACAATTGCCACTCGTTTCCTTTTCGCATTCGGCTAATGCTTGGTTGTGGCTGGTTGTGAAGGTGCTTGTTATCTTGATGGGATGAGTTGCGTGTAATCTTTGATTTTATATCCTTTTGGTTCCCTTGTGCTGAAATAGACACGCACATCGCGAAAGGTTTCTGAAGCATGGATTGATCTGGATGAGTCTCTAAAGGCTTCAAATATCTATCGGGAATCGCGCAGAAACACATTTCAGTATTGAAACACACTTGTCTGCAATGCATATTTGTTTCGAGTGCTCTCACTGTTAGTTACTCACTACTCTATTCAGTTTTGACTTAGGTACTAAGTTTTGTCTGCATGAGAGAAGAAAGACCCTACTGAAATTTTTGGAACACCTTTGGAAACATGCCAAGCAAGTAATTCACAGCTTTACCTGAAGTTATCATCTGCGATGATTCGCGGATTGGACCGAGGAAAGCAGATAGAGCGACACGGCTGGGATCATTCCTGAGATTTTTTCAATATTCTGAATCTAGAACTCATCTCTTTACAAGCCCCGACCAGTGAAAAAAAATCGTAAAGCCTTAACTCCTACTTGTGACAAAGACTGTCTAATCAAGCGTCTTTTTGTACGTTAAGCCTATGCGCATCCTTTTCTCAGCTAGGTTTTCAAAGAACATCAAATTATGCGCGAGTTAGGACAGGAAGGAACTTGAAATATTGTTTTTACATTCTTTCCCCTAAGCTAGCCATCAGAGAGCAGAATTTTTAAGCGATTGGTAACGCATTCGTCATTTTGAATTCGAAATGACGAATCCGTTAACAAGCATGAGAAATCGTCCAAAGAATTTCTATAAACATGATCAACGACTCCTAAATGTTATCGAATTTGGCAACCAAAAGCCTTATGCCTCAGAAAGGAATTAAGTTTCGGGATCAACAAAAGAAACTTCATAATTCGCCCATTTCTGCTTATCATTCAATTATTATTTATTCTTGTCAATTAAGAACCGGCATACTTCACGCGATTTCAGTCGCCACGCGATTTGGCCATTCCCCAGAAGTCTTCAGATCCAACACTAGCAAACTGCATATGCATAGTGTGTATAACCACGTAGACTGATAAAATGCACGTAAAAATGTGCTTACACTGAGTTATGGACAGTTGGAATATTGCTAAATCGCGTCACCAATGAAATCGCGCGAAGTATAGCGGCTCTTAAGAAACTCACCGTTGAGAGATAGTTTTCTAAACTGCATTTTGTGCTACTTAAATTCTATTGAGTTATCTTAATTTTAGAAAATACAGTATATCTGTGATTTCTTTGTACATTCCCTAGACAAGTACATTACTTCCTCTTTATTTCTCTTGCAAATTCAGCGCTGAATGTGATTTTTACCAAAGTCTTATAAGGAACAAAATATCCATGGACAGGCTCCCTAAATTTTTTCCGACAACAACCGCCTCATGTCAACGGGGGCGGGTGAGGACCTCGAACGCGGAAAATTGCCCCGATCGCGTCAACGCAAATGGCGACTACTTTTCTGGCCGTCATGCGTCCTCCGACAGGCCTTTCGGAGAGAGACCGTCGGGGTTCGGGCATTGTCCTTATCGAAAAGGGGGAGGGGGACCGATGACACTATCGCTTACGGTGACACTCTGATTCACTGATCGATCCGGAGACGAAAGGACGGAGCAATGCACTGCACAAATGCCGTTTTGCATTCCAAAGAAGAGATGCACATTACGAAATATGGCGCGCAGTTGAAATTTATGAAACACGATCTGTTTAATTGAAATGGGAAAATTTATTGAATAATGCTCCAATTGTTCTTACCTCACACTGCTGAGGAAAAATTCGTAACTCTGTCTCGAATTTTTTTACCAATTTAATTTACTTCGGAGCAAAATCATCAACCAGGACCGTGGTAAAAGGCAGAAGCGAGGGCTTCGCTAGATTTTTGAAAGCAGGAAGAGTTATTTGTACGAGTAACATCCGGGGTTCGGCACTGGTGGCTTATAAGCAAGCTAAATATCGTTTTTGGGACAAAAAGCAAAGGGGACATCATTTTTGCGGGTCCGAAATTAGGTTTTTTTAGTCGACTTTCGATTTTTTTGTCGATTCGGATACCTCGGATAAGGGTCAAAGAGGACTTTGTAAAATTTTGCGAAAGTCAGGGGCATCGTTTTTTGCATTTTTGGGAAACACCTCGTGCCAATCCCTTTTAAATTCTTGTTATTGGCACAGAATTGATTTACTTAGAATTTTTTGATTATAGCCTTGTAAGAAACTTGCAAAACCTTGACTGCCTCCACTTTTTTGGAAAACTGGATTCTAGGTCCTTAAGAAATTGAAAGCATTTTTAAAAATTTTCCTTAAACTGTGGATAAGCACATCCCGTAACCCGATAAGAATTGCTCCTTGAAATGTGAGAGTCCATCTAGAAACTGATCTCAAAACTTTTCAAAAATAACCAATTTTTTATTTAATTGTTTATTTATTTATTTAAATACACTCGCTGGTGTGCCTTAGATAAAAAAAAGACAAAAAATTCTGAACATAGGAGGAACCAGCCAGCCGCAATCATAGAAAATTGATTGATAGAAATTTAGAGAAGGTGAAAAGAAGAGTCCTGAACCCATTTGGAAATGCGGCATCCTCTGGAAGAGGCTGCGCTTGAATTGATTGATTGATTGAATTTTTATTGATTGTATTGCAAATAATAATGGCTGAAATAGTCTTTTTTAGGTGGTTAATGTATTTTTTGTTTCTAGAGAATCAACATTTTGAACAAAACTCGCTATGTTTTTATACTTTACTTAACTAGCTGTTTAGCTACTTGTGTATGTGTGCATTCTGAATTACTTGTGTAAGATCTGTTACATTGTCAAAAACTTTAGTGATGGTGGAAAATCTATTGTGCAAAGATAAATTTTCAGAAAACCCCATCTCTAATCTTTTTGACTTCAAATCACTTGAAAGCAAAAACGATCCTACGACTTGTGCTATACTGATAGCAAAGAAACAGCACCAACAAAGAAATCCTCGTGACTTGCTGTTAGGATTGCGTAAAAACTAGACTCTATGTATCCAATTAGAATAAAAGCCATTTTAGGTCAACATCAAACTTTTTCTGATGAAGTCGATGGTTAGCTGAGTCTGAAAGAACGTTTCAAAGTAATATATGGGCACTAGAAAAGTCACATCACACCATGAGAACTCGGCTGAGAATAGAGAATTTAGCTGCACGTAGGCAATTTTGCACGTATTGAATGGTCTAGCATAAAAGCTATTGTTTGAGAGTGGGGAATAAGAAAATTGCTTCTAGAGTGAAAAAAAATCCAAAGACTTAGTGGCAAACGTCTTTAGGATTACTATGTAGGTAGTAAATAAGGCCAGTATATCAAAGGAAATTTCACCACTGCTATAAATTTTAGCTTTTATGTTTACATTTATTGTTTACCTAATCGTTTGAGTCTTTTCATTAAAAGTATAACAATGAATAGACGAAAAATTATTTTCAAGTTGCTGAATCGTGAAAAAGGCATAAGCTATTGTTGACCTGATTTTTTAACGCCATTTTTTAAACATTTCTATTTGAAAAAATATTTTGGAGATTCAAAAATGTGAAATTTTTTGTCAAGAGCCTTGAATAATAAACTTTTGATTCTGAGGAAAGGGCAATGCGCACGCTTCTATATTTCTAAGAGTAGAAAAATTAAAAATTATGTTTATTTGATTTAACATTTAAGGTGCTTGACAAGAAATTATGCTTTATAAAAATATAAAAATCTATATTTCTAACAGCAAAGAAAAAACTGAAAGCTATGTCTATTTTATTTTTCTTAATTCGGTCCCTAGGTAGTTTTTATTTTTGAAACTTGTAAAAACAAAAAATTCCGTATTGATAATTTCATCGCTTCAATTTTTGGATATTCATAAAATGGTGAAGAAACTGGAAGTTTTTAATCATTAATTTTTCCTTTTTCAGTCTCCCACATAACTGCGCAATGGTAAAGGCTGCAATTATGATTATCAATATATTTCTTGTTTCAATCTCTAGATAATTACGAACGCGTCATAATCACATTGTTCCGTAATTTGCATTTGATGTAGAAGTGCAGGTGTTATCGATTCCATCTGTGCTTACTTCTATGGCAATGTCATTAGAGCTTATCCACGCTGGACCGAACGTGCTTATCCGCTCCCCCCCCCCCCCTCCGATGTTGACGGAATTGTTTGTGGCCAATGGCGAACACACACTGGCGGCGCTGTATTTGCCGACGAGGTGCGCGCGCAGCACACCTGGGAGGGCGTGACCGGGCGCGGCGGTCGGTTGCCATGCTATCTGTGCGTGAGACGAGAACACCGCTCCCCGCCGGCCCCACGTTTCCCCGTCCTCGTCCCCCGTGTGTGCCCCCGTGCCCGTCCGCCTGCCACCCGTGTATTTCATGTTCGACAACTAACTGTCAGCGTTAACAGCTGAGCATGTTCGGCTATGATGACTCGTACGGTTATTCGACGGCGCTACTCGGCGTTGCCCCTTATGCTACACAATTGGCCTTAGGGCCAATCAGCTGGGTGTTATTTTTCCCACTATTTGCCCTACCAGCCGTCTCCTTGATGCTTTCTATTGGCAGTCTTTCTACACATGGGCCTGTACTTACATACAAGAGACTTGCGCCTATTGCTGCCGGTAAATATTTCCTAAAAAATTTTACTATTATTTCCTTTTTAAATATTTCTCCTTTCCTTTTTTGGCTAAAACCTCGTCTTCTGTCAAAATTGTCCTCTCATGTCGCATTGCCAACTTGATTGACTACTTTCCTTCAGACATCACGTCATAAATCTCCTTCGACAAACAAAAATTCTAAAAATATCCTGTTTCAACAAATTGCACTGTTTTTCGATCGATACGTATTAATTACATGTGATGAGTTACGTTGTGCGGTAGTTGCAGTAGGAGTGCCATGGCCGGTTCGGTGAAGGTCAAGTGCATTCACCAACAACGGTGCACATTTCGAACACTTTTTTGTGCGGCGGATGAAACGCAGAATCTTTCGAACTTAATCACGAAAGAGATTTTTATTGAGAAATTGCGAAAAAATAATCCAGAAACTTTTAATCATGAGTGTTTTTTTAATCTTTTGATATCACTCGAATCTTCGCATTAAGCCCCCAAATAGTCTTAAGTGGCTATAGACTTTTTTTGTTTTCGTTTATCTGTTAAAAATTTTCATATACTTTGTGTTCGGTAAATTTTTTTGACCAACAATCATCCGTCTTCCATTTTTTTCAATTTTATGAAGTTGTATAATTTTGACCAAAGAAAATGATTTTTTATGCAAGGTAAATTTCAAAAATCAGCTTGCATTTGCGAAAAAATTTTCTTTCGACTTACCCGAAATATGGCAAAAAAACCAAAATAATCCCGCTTTTGTGCAAAATTTTCTGTTTCATTTCTTTCATAAAAATATAGATTATCGAGGAATGTGATTATTTTTTTTCCCTTCATGTGGGGCATAGAGTACCTATAATAATGATAACTGATCACTCGTTGAGTGTTATGATCTTCCCGAAACATGACAGAAAAACGAAATAATTTTGATTTAAAAACTCTCTGTTTCATTTCTGTCATAAAATCATAGATAAATCCTGCGCTTGCTTTTCTCTTCATTTGCATAGAGTATAAAAATGATTATAATGATTACCCATAGATTGTTACGATATTTTTTGGTTACATTGATCATTTTTTTTCTGGGAACCACATATCTCATTCGTTTTCTTCATGCTAAATTTTGCATCGTTAATATCGTTTTTTAGCCAAAAAGGTAAAAAAATCAGAAAATTTTGTTTGTTTCATAGAAATGTCATGGTTTTTGTCATCTCCTATATATTACATTATTAATTATATCATTTATTATTACATTATTCATATTTTTATTTTTATTGTTTATTATATTATTTATTATCATATTATCAATTATATTATCAACTTTATGCCTTTCACTGATTTATGGCTATTTCTGTCACTTTTTTTTAAAAATCACACTTTTCAACCATTTTCTCACTCCTTTTTCCATTCCATTACTAAAAATATCCCAAACATGCATTGACAAATGTTCCAAGCGAGTCGACACTTGCGAAAAAAACCTTCATTCAACTTGGCAGGAAGCTATCTAATGTTATTGGATGGGGGAACTGCAAGCAGTATTTGCTATGAGCAATACTGCACACTCATTGCTTTCTATCTGACGCGTGCCAAAAAGAAGATCTGAATGTTCTTTGAGAGAAATGGTTAATTCAAATTCCATGAGAAAAAATATGATTTGCATGTTACGATGTCTTCGTAACGCTAAATTTAGCCAAGTACAAAAAGATCTGAATGAAAGTGGCTTTAGTGGTAATCTGACAGCTCGCAAATTTGCAATTTAGAAACGGAAATCTATATTTGATCAGTTTTCAAGAAAATGGAAGGTAATCAAAAACTTTAAACCCAATTTACCGAGAATGGAACAAAGAGCTTTCTAAAGGCCGAACTTCCGCTTTTTTTCTCAAAATTCGAGAGTCTTGAAAGAAGAAATTTCGCGAGGAAGGAGGTACGCTAAAAAGCCTTGGCTCTCAATATAACCAAGAAAATACCTTTGATTCAACTGGCTTGGCCGCTGGAAGGCGGGGCTTTGTGACCTAATTAAGGCCGCTCGCGCTCGCTACGCAGTCTGCGTCTCTCTCGTACGCGTGCTCTCTGATCATTATCTAGACTTAATTAGATCACGAAGCCCCGCCTTCCAGCCAGTTGAATCAAAGGCTACTAAAAAATTCGAAATTCAAATCGGGTTTTTTCTTAGTATGTGGTGATGATTGGTGTGGTTCACAACAACTAATGGAAACAAAAGTCGCCAACTTCCTTTCTTCTAAAATTTTTTTGGAAATGAAAGATTACCCGGAATTTGTGATTTGTATACTTTTTTTAGGAGAAAAATTGAATTGTATACTTTTTTCCACAGTTATGAAAGATTTGGAGGATAAAAGTCTAATATGAGCACAAAATAATTGTTTAATGAATTATTTATTTATATATATATTTTATATTGTAATGGTCTGCATTAATATTGAATTATATTATTATTACTATTGAATTATTATTATATTTATCTGGATTTATATATTTTATATTGAATTCAATCTATTTGGTATTTTTGAAGCATTTTGTTCTTATTGCGTGCTCGCTTCCTAGCAAATGACATTTGGAGAAGAAGATAAGGCAATAACGTCATCGATGCCTAGAGATCGAGAAGTGTTTGGGACTTTTAGAACTTTTTTTGCTTTTAATTCCGCTTTCTGCTTTGATCGATGTGCTTTGTCTTTTGAGATATTAAAGTCGTCTCATGAAATTATTCATACTACTTGTTAACGAATTTTTATACGTCTTTATACTTTCAATATTGAATTCAGTACAGGGCTCGGCACAGGCGGCTTCTAAGCGATCTGGACATCGTTTAGGGGTTTTGTTTTTGTGGCCGAAAAGACACAAAAATTGCGATTTTTTCTTGTGGCCCATTTTGGAGATTTTTTAGGGATTATGGCCTAGAGTCAGAGGGGACTTCGTGAAAATTCGCAAAAATCAAGGGAGACTTCGTTTTTTCCATTATCGAAAACTACCTCGTGCCGAGCCCTGATTCATTAGCAATGTATGTTATGTCTAATTTTTGTTGTAATCACTTCAATTCAAAAGTTCTTCCATCTAATATTAGACTTTTCAAATGGTTATGCTAAATTCCTCCAAAGCTCTATCAAAAACTTCAAAATTGTATGAATTATTTGCGCTAATAATTAATAATTTAATAATAATCGCTAATAATTTGCGCTCTTTGAGACGATTAGATTAATGTTTATTGTTCTACTTATAGCATCAGCTCATTCCAATGCATCTTCTTCAAAACACCTACTTAAGTTTATGGGGGATCTTTTTTTTTCGCTTACAGGTCCCTCGAGTATTGCAGTATTTGCAGAAGTATTGCTACTTCTTCCTTGTTGATTTTTTTGCTCATTGATTAAGTACATTTACGTGATGAGAAATAATTTCTATTTGTTGAAGTTGATACTGCACGCTGTTCTCACTCATTTTTCTCTTGAATTAATTTCTCTTAGACATGCACTCACTCTTTCATGATTGATTACATGACTGAACTTTTTTCGGAGAAATTTCTAGAATGCTTTCATCCGTGTAGTAGTAGTAGTATAAAATAGATTTAGCCTTCAAAAACATGATGTTTTTGACGAGAATTTTTATTTACTTTGAAACAAACAGGAATTGAAGTTCAACATAGAAATGGCAACAAAGAATGAGTACAAAATGGACTATGACGAGGATTTTTTTTTACATAAAAATACCTATTTCTTCTTTCCCACGTGATTTTCGTATGCCAATCTCGCGCATTCTTTGTTCCATTATTATCTAAAACGCTTTGATGCATCGCTCTCCGTGAAGTGTAGTGAAAATTTCTTGCGCTAGATTGTTGAAACTTTTTGAAAATCTATTTTGAATGATTTTTCTTTGTTGTTGCCTACGATTATTTTTGAGCATTTATATCACACTGTAAAACTTGTCACATGTTGTAGACCCTAAACAGATGATGGAATCAAAATCATTGACGGGGAAATTGCTTTTCACTAAGAAATTGATTCGATTAGAAAACATCAGGCGGAAGTGATAATTATATGAGTAGCGGATGAATCGATTTGCGGAAGAAGTTTTGAGAGATTCTAACGATAGAAAAGCCTGTCAATATTTGAAGTTTGATAAAAAATTGTCGCTCATAGCATTCGCCGTAACTAATTTTTTTTATGTTAAAGGACTCTGTTCATATTCGCACCGATATTTGAATTTATAGGAGCGTTTCGCATAAACTGGCTGTTGTAATACAAGAAAGATATATCCCAATCAAAAGAAAACTTAATTTGCTTCTTTAGCTTTGTCTTGCTACTCTCCCTACTTATAATTCACTTTCTTTCACTTACTTAATTATTCTACGCGTTTCAACTTCTGCACATTTTTCTGTGAATTTATTAGCTTTAAAATTGCACAAAACATGCTTTATTCAAACTGTCGCTCGACTGAATAGTACATTTCTTACTCCTGAATTCTGAATTTGTCATCAGCCTAATGAATATTGAAACATTACCAATAATGGTTCGTATGGAAAAGATTAATCTATTTTTGATCTACGATTTTCTTGAAGCTGTCATCCGCAAGATTTTCTCATTTTTTTCCTTTTCTGCTGATTTACCGCTTCCTTGGCCTCATAATAACTTATCATGGAATAAAATAAACTTTTATCATTTCCTTAACAAATGTCAATCGCAGAATAAATAATTATTTTATTTTGTACATTTATTCAACAATGCGCACTTTTTTATTTTTATCAACTGCTCATCATCTTCAAAAAAATGTATGGCTCTTGAACTTGATCCAAACAAAAAGCGAAGTATTTGCTAGTGAAATTTTCTTGATACCAGCAGTGGCGGTCTCAGGATATCTCCGGAAAGGGAGTGGGGAAAGCGACAAAAAGTTTTCTTTGATAAAGGTGCTAGGCATTAGTCACGCACTCTAAAAAAAATTTTCAGGATGCTTCACAAAATTTCTGCGGGCCCATGCGGCAATTAGACCTCCGCAAAAACATTTTTCACAAACATTTTTTCTTTTTTAAAATTTAAAAAATTATCTTAGTTAATCAATGAACAGGTCACTCACATCTTTATAACCAAGCTTGGATAACATTTTTAGCATTGCTCTTTACATTATTTTGCACTTCTAGGACTTGGCTGGGCATTAACATGGCACGTAGCCGAGCGATTGTACGTCGAAGGACTACGAGCGGCTCAGAATCTTTTGTACTTAGTGTTCTCGCTACGTTTCAATCTCGATTGGGCAATAGAATGTGGTCACCCATACAATTCCAGGTCTGAAAAGACTTTTCTAGACTCGCAGGGACTCGAAATGAAGAAAAAGATTGATTCCAGGTTTTGTGTGAATTTCAACGAGCCAAACATCACTGTTGGTCCGTACCATCATAGCCCAGAAAATCACTGGCCAGCCCAGGAATTCAATAGGTTTGCTAATTTTCCCGTTTCATTCGTTCACTATTTGACCTGCCCAGGAAATCATCAGATCTGTTATTTTTTCCTGTTTCATGAGCTCATCATATTCAGTTGTAGCCGAGAAAATCAGTTCTAAACTTTCACCCAGTACCGTAATGCTTTGAAAGGGTACGGTAGTGGGCGAGAGTTTAGAGCTGAATTTCTCGGTTGCTATTGTGTTGTATGAGCTGCCGCTTGGGCAGTAGCTTATATGGGCACTTTTCCACCTCATTTCCGCCTAAAACCTCAAGATATTAAATTTTTCTGCGCAGTGCCTTTAGTCGCTATAAAGTGCTGATGATCACTGATTGCTGTATGGCACATGCTGTAGAGTGTGTTTGCTGAAATCTCGTGAGTACAGATGAGGTTCGAACCGGCACATACAAATCGATTCGAGAGTATATTTGACTAAGCCGTCACCGAGAGCGACGAGAGAGCGTACATGGCTGCTCGTCAAGCGAAAATCGCTCGTCTCTCCTAGTGATAAACGACGCTCGGTGGAATATGTGCTCTGTGCTGTCATAAAATGTCGCCGGGATTGGGCAAGTGTCGCTTTGAAGTATTGGGAAGGGGCATCTGAGGGCTTAGGCTAGGAATACATTCTATTGGCATAGGGCAAACAGATCAAGGGGTCGTAGGCAATCGGGTAGGCGTAAGCTGTGAACATATCTCTAAAGTAATGTGTAAACAATTTTTCTTTTCAGTATTTTCTTGCTTGGTGTGCATAACTGATATAAAATTTGATGTAGGCAAGATTGTCAGATATGCATATAGTCCCAAATTAGCTTCAAGGCAATTTTCTTAGCGTTTCTTGAATATATCTAAGAAATTCACCTTGTTGCCTATATCTCTTACCCTTCCAGAACTAGCTATAGTTCATTTTTGTTAACTATCATAAGCAAGTTGCATTTTCCAATTTCTAGTGATTTGGATCAAAAAAGTTGGTTCCAACATCATCAAAAAAATTTTTACGGTTTATATCTCTAAATTAAATGGGATAAAATCGGCTGTAAAAAATAATCAAACAAAGCAAAACAGAGAGGACATCAACAGTAAAATTCTTTGCGAATTCCAAAGTTGGAGTTTTTTCCTTAATCTCGTAAAAATGAAGTGTGAGCAAATGAAGAAAATGAAACGAATGTATTGAAATACGTGAAATTTTGAATTTCTTACTCCATTCTTTTAGTGTACCTCACTCTTTCATTGCCTCTTTCTTCGCTACCTTTCCTTTTCTCTTTGAATATCTGCATTCACTCTCAGGTAGATCAATTATTTTCTTTCTTACGACAAAGTCTACCTCTTCAGACTTCTCTAAACACAATCACTACCATGGTCTTAGTACTGAGATTAAAGCGATTAGCCCAAGATAGTGCTGTAATTTCGAAGACTATTCGCTCTTAGGAACCACTGAAAGCGAGACCAATGTCCAGTTTTGTTCTTTTTATCGCTTTCAGCCTTTCGCAGTTCACTAATGGATGCTAGTTAGTGGAATGTGTACAGAAAATGAAGTGGTTTTTTACGGTGCTATCCGCGAATCGATCTTGTTTGTGAAAAGGGCAAAAAAACAAAATGAATAAATGCTTTTTTGATCTTCAGGTGATCACTTATTTTTAAGAAACAAACTGCTATGAAATCTACAAAAAATTGCTGCCATTCGCAAATGTCACACGCAAATTGAAATTTAATGTCATCAACTAGTTCTGATAAAAGTAAATAAAAACCCATTTTGATTAGTAAAGTAAATATATTTGTACATTTTACTTCAACCGGCTCGGCGGCTGAAAGGCGGGGCTCCGGACCTAATTAAGACTAGAAAATGATTAGAGAACATATTCGCAAGGGAGCCGCAAACTCGTCGCGGGCGCGAGCAGTCGCCTCATAGGTCATGAAGCCCCGCCTTCCAGTAGCCAATCTGATTGAAGCAAAGGGTACATTTTTTCTTATGAATGAAAATCCGCTAATACACTTCTTAATCAAGACGTGTTTTTCCTATATTTTCACAAAAAAAACTAAGAATCTACTTTACTCGGATTGTGAATGAGAAATGCTTGTGAACGAGAATTTTTGTTATAAGTTTTGAGTGTTATACAAAAGTAAAAATAGATTACTGTTGTATCTTTTTGGAAACTTTTCTGCACAAAATCTTTCCAAGCTGTAGGAGAATTCTTTTTTCAATTCCATTATTTACGTGGCAATTTCAACTTTGCAAGTACCTTAACCACAATACAGCTCTTTTTTTTTCGTTTCTCAAGAGGAAGTGCACGTTGTCAACGTACAGCGCCAGGTACTCTATAGTTGTTAGTGTTTTTGCGTCCATTGCTCGTTAACTCGCACTCATTCGGCGCTACTCGAATGGTCGTTCTTTCGGTAGCGCCGACTGGTCGCGGCGAACATCACTCGCGCATTTCCGATGTTTCTCGAACCGGTTCCCCCCTCTGTTCTTTCGTTCGTTCGTGCACTTGTCATACGCTGTTGATAGAGCGACTCGCGACTATTTCTAACTTTGGCTAAGGTATGGAGTTGAGAAAAGAACACATGGGGCAAAAACAGAACTCATCTCAAAAAGTTTTCTGGGAGAAGGAGATGAACGAAGGCAAGAAAGGGATTTTGAGAAAATTTGTTCTGAAAGGAGTGGCGACTGGACCTGGTAAGTTTGTGGTAAATACGCATGGGGTTTCTCGAACAAAGTTAGGGGAGAGAAGAGGGAAGGGGAGACGTAGGGTCTGAGGAGGGGTGGCAAAATTTCGTTAGAACGCTAATGGCGGTGAACAAACTCAGTGCACTTACGGAAATTCTAATCAAAGCAGTTTGTAGAAAAATTTTGAGGCGCCAAAGATTTAAGCTAGTTCGGGAAAAATCACAAAAATTTCGGGACCTAGCTGAGGCTTCTTCGTCAAGAATCTTCTCTGTAAACACTACTCCCTTCCTTCCTACCCTGTCGCTCAAAATTCTAAGGACCGCATGCATTAACATCCCCGCTGGGGAGGGGATCGCAGTTTAAAAGAAAAGCTTTATACCTTGAAGCTCCAGATATCTGGATTTGACGTTGTCTACCTATCCGTAAGTATTCCTGCTGTCCTTCACTAGAAACGTATTCAAGAGGAGCGAGAAGCTGTACAGCCGCATTTTCCAGATATTTATATGGTCCCTGATGATCCTCGGGGGACGATCGTTCATTCTTTAAAGTCACTTCTCTTTCTTGAAAGTTAATAAAAACATTCTAAAGTTGCACTGATTATCTAACCCAACAGTACTAAGCATATTGCTGATGAGAACAAATGAGTTTCTGAGATATCGAAATTTCCGATAAACCCCAACTTTCGACCTGTGGTTCATCGAAAATTTTATGACTCCAAAACATCATTTGTTCTTATCAGCAACATGCTTAGCACAGTTGGGTTAGATAGGCAATGCAACTTTGGAATGTTTCCATTAACTCTGAAGAAAGAAAAATGACTTCAAAGAGTAGACGGTCGTCCCCGGGAATCACTAGGGGATCATACAAAAAGCTGGAAAATGCGGCATGTATAGCTTCTCTCTTCTGTTCAGTACGTTCATAGTGGAGGATGGTGGGAGTACTTACTGGTAGGTAGACAGCGTGAAATCCAGATATCTGGAGCTTCAGGATATGAAGCTTTCTTTCAAGCTGCGATTCTCTCCCCAGCGGGAATGTTAGTGCATGCGGCCCTAAAACTCTACTGTAGTCAGAAAATAGTTTTTGCTAGGAACAGAGTTGAGAAACAAATTTACTGATTAAAGAAAGACGGGTAACGATAAAATTATGACATGGAATATGATGAGAAAATTATTCAAATTTATGAAAGTCAAATATCGGTTTATGTTTGCTTTATAGTTCCAAAAATTTGAATTTATAATTCTTTTCATTTTTATGAACGATTGCTGGTAAGTAGAGGCCCATACTTTTTTGGAACTATTTTGAACTCTTTGAATTTTCTTTCTAGTTGCGATTATAACTCCTACTCTTTGATTTCATTTTTGGTGTTATGAAGCAATGATCTTGAAAATTTGATAGCAAAGGGATTTTATATCACTGGTTTATGGTATTGTTTATGAAAATGGAAAGTGTAAAGAATTAGTGAAACATAGAATAATAATGATTTTTTCTCTGATATTCACTTTTCAAATTCAAAAAATTTGAACTATCTTCAAGATTTGTTTTCGTGCACTAAAAGCAATTAGATATCTTTCGTTTCTTAGCAACTACACATCTAAAATCCCCTGTCACTCTCATGGCTGTTTTTCCTAGCGTTGGGGATTGAAACCAGCTTTTCACTGAAATGGCATGCATTTCGAAAGGTGATTCCATGCTTAATGAGGCGAGCTCTTGTGCAAACAAACACTATCCTAAGGGGTTTTTCGTGTACCTACTTTTCGATCTTATTTCAAAAAAATTTTCCTAGAACTTTTGAGTTTTGAAGACTTTCTCACTTTCTTGGAATAATTTTGTTTTGTACACGATTTTTTACACTATCTCACGAAAGTCTCCAATAATCGGATGTTTTTGAGCTAGAATCAATTAGGAATGTGTATAATAATTGTGAACGGGTTCTTTGGCACATTTTCATACATTTTAGCTTGTAATATAAGATGTCCTTTGAGTGTAGACCTACCGAAACCTTCCCAGTCAAAGTAGAGGGTCGGATTTGAGCAAAATAAGCATTTTTTATCAAATTTTTGGGTGTATCAGATACCAGGACCAGTGGCGTACCCGGGATTTCGGTTCTAGGGAGGGGGGGGGGAGGGGGGGGGGGGGGGAGGACAAAACTTTTTTTCTGATGTAGGTGCATGGCGGCAGCCACTCACTTTGGAAAATTTTTGATATGCTTCCTAAAAATTTTGCAGGTCCATAACCCCGAAATTTTCCCGAAAAAAGTCTAAGCTAGAATTTTCTATAGTATTTTTGAAATTATTCTAATTGATTACAAGTATAATCAAGTCTTTTGCACATCCTTATGACTATGCAAGTAACTTATTTCGCGACCCGTTTTTTTTGGGGGGGGGGGGGGACGCCAGGTATTAGGTCGTCCGGAAATCAATGCCCGTTTTGAATTTCAACCGCAATAAGTCATACACTCTTCATTTCTAGATATATTGCAAAGTACCATTCGATATAGCAAAGCAAGCTCTACAAGACGGCCATCTTGCTTTTGCAATAGCTCTCATCCATTACGAGTTTCGAGCCAAAAACTAAAAAGACTCAGCAGCAAGAAAAATCGAAACAAATCGTAACTCAGTTCATAAAAAACCTACAAAAATTCTAACATGTTCACGCAAACACTATCCACATAAGACATCAATATACGCCGTTGCCGTATTTTTTTCTCTGTTAGAGACCAAGAAAACGGAAATTTTCATGCATTTGCCAAAGTGATGGTGTGCCGTCCCCACATAGGTAGTTGTATACCAAAAGCCTGTAGAAGTACAGACTTAAATTTCCAGCTCTCTACAAGCTTTAGTTCTCGAGAAATACCGAATATAGCTTTCCCTATTTAGGTGGTCCAAGCTAAAATTCAAATACCGAATATAGCTTTCCCTATTTAGGTGGTCCAAGCTAAAATTCAAATTTCTCGAGAACTAAAGCTTGTAGAGAGCTGAAAATTTAAGTCTGTACTTCTACAGGCTTGTGGTATACAATTACCTATGTGGGGACGGCACAGCATCACTTTGGCAAATGCATAAAAATTTCCGTTTTCTTGGTTTCTAACAGAGAAAAAAATACGGCAACGGCGTATATTGATGTCTTATGTGGATAGTGTTTGTGTGAACAAGTTAGAATTTTTGTAGGTTTTTTATGAACTGAGTTACGATTTTTTTCGATTTTTCGGACTGCTGAGTCTTTTTAGTTTTCGGCTCGAAACTCGAGATGGATGAGAGCTGTTGCAAAAGCAAGATGGCCATCTTGTAGAGCTTGCTTTGCTCTATCGAATGGTACTTTGCAATATATCTAGAAATGAAGAGTGTATGACTTATTGCGGTTGAAATTTAAAACGGGCATTAATTTCCGGACAACCTAATATATACTGCGGCTCAATCTCGGTTAATAATTTTGCAAAAAAATTGACTACGATTTAAAATCCTACAAGGTTAGTTCTATAGTTCCAAAATACTCTGTTGTTTTGGAGTCACATGTTATGCTGGTATGTCGCAGGTAATCGTAAGATTTAAAATAAACTAGTTCCTGAATTTTTCCTTTTTTTTCCAACAAGCTTTGATGTTTGATGTAGAATAAACTAGTTTCTAAATTTTTTCTTTTTTACCCAACAATTTTTAATGTTTGAAATTTTCGATCTTCTGCTTTTTTCAGTCAGTTGTGCTGTTTATACACATTTTCTACATAAAAGTACTTTTAACCGCTTACCTTTTGAGTACTTCTAATTTGCGCCATAGCCCTTTGATTAATAGCAATTTATATTCTTGATTAGGAAAACTTCCTTGTTTAGTCTTGAACGTAATGTAAAGTTGGGGTTATACAGGATGTCCCAAAAGTATGTATACACTGTTTGATCGTTAATATCTCTTTCCTCAAGAGTACTTTAACCTAACTGCGGGCACCATTTTGTAGAGCTGGCTTCAACTTAGATTTACAGTATGGAGCGAATCACCCATTGCTCTTCATTACTGTAGGATTACGGATTAAACTTCAAGAAGGGTTCTGAGCCATCAAGGGCCCTATTTCGCCCCATAATGCAAATCAAACAAACTGAAAACTTTTATGCTAGGCTATTTCGAGCCGATAAAACCAAATATGAAGTTTGCACTTTATCTCAATGCTTGCTTCATAAGTTATGCCATGTAAACCGCAATAATCGTTCTTAAAATGATTCCTAAAATCGTGATTACACCATTTAAAAAGTTTTGCGGACTCTGAATTATTAAGCAATGAAATCAGGGCACGTGAAAACCTTGATACACCGTTTCTCAATATTTTTGAGAAACTTTTTCGAAACACGATTGATTCATTGTGACGCTGTAAGCTGAAAGTTCTTACCGTAATCCTACAGCAATAAAGAGTGACTAATGATTCGCTCCACACTGAAATTCTAAGTTGATCCTAGCACTACAGAATGATACCTTAAACTAGTCAAAAGACTTCTCAGAAAACGAGATATTAACGATCAAACAGTGTATACATACTTTTGGGACACCCTATATATTCCAAGACCAAAGAAATGAAGATGTGTGCCAAAAGTCCATGGAATTTACATACATGCTGAAAAATTGCCTTCACTAGTGGATAGAAATATTGAATCAAAATTTTGGTTCCTCTGAAAAAAATTTTTTCAGCTATGTCATTCGAGGAAACGATCCAGCCGTCAACATCTCCACTGTATGGGAGCCGAATGAATGGTTTTTGGGCAATTCCAAATCGCAATTCTTTTTCACTTTTCCTCAATTGCCTCTTATGGTCGCCCACGCAATAATATGGACCACTATTTACTTTCTATTGATAAAGTAAGTTAGCACTTTCTTCAGCCACTAAGAAAGTTTCCAAAATTTTCCTGTTTCAGGTGCCCAAATAACATAGGCACAGTAATCTCAAGGTTATGTGTTACCGTACCCTGCGCTCTCTACTTACTCTTGATAATCGGGATGTCAGTTAGTGGATTCCATTTTGGAGGGAAAAACGACATGGAAAAGGAAATCACTCAACAAAAACGTGATGATGATCCGTTTGATTATTGGGCCGACATCAGGGTAAGAAACTTTTTGACCTACCAATTTTTTGATCTTTCTGAATTTTTTCATTTAGGGCTTCTATCGCACTTCAATACTTACTGTTGACTATTCTGGTGCTTTTTCTGGAATTTTATTGTTTGCTACAAGCAGACTTCGTCCAGGAGCAAAATCACTAAATGCTTTGATGCTAGTGCCTTTGATGATGGTAAGTTATCAATTATTTATTTTGAAGGGAGGAGTGCGGAAGGCGCTGTAATGGAAGGGAAGCAACTTGAGGCTCCGCCCACTTCTGCTCCGCGCATCGCCACATCGTGTCAGGACCTGTATTGACCAACCATATAATGCAGCGGGAGGCGGACCGTGCATAATGCGCGCGAAATTCAAAATTGCCACTGTGCTCACTGCTGCTACCCTCTTCTCTTTCTTATATTCTTTTGAATTTTGCGTCTTGATACCAAACTCAGTGAATCAGTTCCTCTAAATCGTTATTTGCAAAAAAAATTTGTTTTTATAATATTGTTAAAAAACGATTTCTTAAAATGGAAAAATTTATTTAGCTTGTGCCTGTGCTTTTGACTATACTGCGCAGTGGATGTGAAGGTCATGTTGCCGAACTACAACCTGCCTACACTATATACGCATCAACAGGTAAGAATTTTTCGGATCATCAAATTTCCTGACTTATATTTATTACTTGCCAAGAGCAAATTATTTGTATCATAATTTACCTGATTCAATAATATCCTTCAGAAATTCTTGTTATTATCTCACCATGATTCACTCTTGTGCAATTTTCACAGCGTTGTCGATGTAAACATTATATCGAAAACCAAGAATCCAAAGAATTTGTTTGCAAATTTTCTCGTCTATGACTGTCTTCATAATAGTGCAATTCCTTTGTGAATCACACTTGTACACCATTGAATGACTACTTTTTATTTGTTGGGAAGAAAATAATGTCGTTCCCAACGTTTCAATGCAAATTTGATATGTCTCGGGAATTATGGCAACAATTGTAACTCTAATACTTACGTAATTTCATAATGGTTTTTATAAGTGAAATGACCACTGGAAGCGAAGTGTGTCATTTATGCCTCCCCCCCACCACGAGAAAGGGTGGCAAAATTTTGAAAGTTACTTATGCAAGTTATAATTGCAAGTGACCTGTTTATACTTGTAGTAATTGGGATAATTTTTTGAATTTTTTGAAATCTTAATTAGCCTTATAAGAAGTTTTTTGCGTGGCCAATGTCACCCTCTTTCAAAATTTTTGGGGTTGTGTGCCCGCAGAAATTTTAGGAAGCATACCAAAATTTCGGATGCTTTTTGTCCGTCCCCCCCCCTCCCTTCCCCCGAACGGAAATTCTGGGTACGCCACTATCACAATTAGGGGCGAAGTTTGCTATTTCTGACAATTCAGGCTCCCTGATTTCTCCAAGAGAAATACAGCAACTTAGATAGCGTTCCAAATTGTTTTTTTGGAGGGGGAGGGAGGGTAGAAAGTTTTGTGAGGGGTGCAGGATTAGTCACGCTCTACGGAAAATTTGCTGGGGATGCTTTTCAAATACATACTTGGCGCGGATGACTCTGAAATCTCAAAAAAGTAGCAGCGAGAAATTTATTGTATTACTAATTTTTACGGCTAAAAAAAGAGTTGCTAGCGTAAATTTGACCTGCATATGTAGATTTTCGTCCGGGAGGGGGAGGGGATGCGTGGCAAAAAATTTTTTCAAGTGAACGGCGTAACGTTAGCTGCGCTTGTAATTTTTCTAAAAATTTCGAATAGATCTACGAGTTTCGTCTGGATTTTTTCCAAAAATCATTCCGTTGCGAGAATGCGCTTCTCCAATTTTTCGCACATCCATTTGACATCTTACCATTCAGTAATTTGACCTACTACTTATTGACTTGGAAGAATCATAATTCTGAGATAAAATGCACTTTGCAAAGATACTTTTCGGTAGTCGGTGCATGTATTATGCTTGTTATCTACGATCTTTGTGGGTTTTGTATATTTTTTCTTATTTTTCTGAATCTGGTAAAACTATCTGGCTCAACTTCTCTGCGGATTTCATCTAATTGGATAAAATTCTTTCTAACGCCTCTCTTACAGATGAAATAATCTCATTCGATTTGCTACCAGTATGTTTTGCAACCAGTCGAATTGGCCCTATATGGGCGATTATCTACTATGCAGCACAATTTCTTTACACTTCATTGGGTCCCATGGTAAGTTTGACTTTTTTTCCTGGAGAAAATGATTTTTTCAAACATTTCAGCTCGTGTTCGTATCGTTTATCTACCAGTCTTTCGTCGATGATTTGCCAACTGTGCAAAACTTTGCTCCAGTCTTCTTTGCCTTGATTGTTACATTTTTTGCCGTGCCGTCAGTACTTCTATACATGCCGGTGAGTAAAGCTAACTTCATCAAGCCATTGCATCTTACAAATGCATTTCCATAAATCAAATATGCGCATAGGAAATGATATGGCTTTACGTTGGCCGTTGCAAATTCTTGATTTATACGTCTATACGTTTGGTATTTGCAATCAGAATTCTTTGCTATTTTTATACATCGTTTTCCCAAAATTAGCAGGTTCACAGATCTGAAATCTCACGGAAGTTTCATGTACTTCTACGGTTTTGCTCTACTACATTTCTTTTTGGACATTTCGAGTTGTCTTATACAATGGAATTTCACGGAAAGTCCGGTCAAAACTGATTGTTTGCAAAGGCCCTACCACTTGTGCTATAAAATTTTAGATGTAAGCGTTAGATGCCTTCTAATGCAAATGTGCACCCAAGCCTGGAAAATAACTACTTCGAAAACACAAACTTTTTTCAGTTTTCTATTTTCGCGTTTGCGCATATGAGTCTTGACAGAATTATCTATCTTGTAGTTTTTGATGAGTAACTCAGTCATACCATGTGTTCCAACCCTTCTGAAATGACATGTTGGCAAACTGAATAGCAATCGCATATTTACAATTTCCATAATTTTTTTAGATCTTATACAGGGTGTCCCAAAAGTATGTATCGAACGTTTGATCGTTAATATCTCTCTTCCCAAGAAGTCTTTTGCCTTGCTTCAAGTACCATTTTGTAGAGCTGGCTTCAACTTAGATTTGCATTAAAGAACGAATCACCCATCTCTCTTCATTACTGTAGGATTACGGTAGAAACTTGAAACATATGGTGTCAATGTGGAAAAAGCTGCAGTTCCAAAATTCTTCAAAAAATTGTGAAAACTTGTGTAATAGGGTTTTTATGGATGCTGAGTTCAATACTCAATTATTCACAAGATTACAAAGCTTTCTAAACGGTGTAATCGCACTTTTTAGGAACATTGAAAAAATGGCCGCTACCTCTTACCTGGCATAACTCCTCAATGAAGCATCATAATAAGTTGGGAACTTAACAGTTATAATCAGCAACTCTAATTAGCCTAGTGTGAAAACTTTCAGGCTGTTTTATTTCCTTTCTAAGGCAAAATATGGCCTTTCATTGCTTAAAACCCTCTTTGAAGTTTCTACCGTAATCCTACAGTAATGAAGAGGAATGAGTGATTCGTTCTATAATGCAAATGTAAGTTGAAGCTAGCTCTACAAAATGGTACTTGAAGCAAGGCAAAAGACTTCTTGGGAAGAGAGATATTAACGATCAAACGTTCGATACATACTTTTGGGACACCCTGTACTTTCACATGAACAAAATGAAACCTTTCATTTATTGGAGGGGACGGGTGAATGATTATTAAATGAAGTTAGAGGCAGTGTATCAACAGAGTTTTCCAGATTTTCTTCTTTTCGAAGCCTTTTCGCCATGAGGGTATCCATATCCGGGCTTCCCGCATAAAAATGGTGAAAATGAGCTTTTTCCGAAGCTTTCAGGTCCGCATTCAGTGAAGATATGAAAGTTTTCCGCCCCCCGCCTCTTTCGTTTCGGGTTCCGCCCACTTGCACATATTCTCCACTGGATGCAGACCTGAAAAGCTTCGAAAAACTCCTTTTCGCCATTTTCATGCTCTGAGAAGCCCAGATGTGGGTTCCTTATGGCGAGAAGGCTTCGAAAAGGTGAAATCCTGGGAAACGAAATTCTGCCGAGACACTGCCTTCAATTCTCCAATTTCTTGAGCTGCGCTTGCTCAGCATAAATAGCTATTGATACTTGAAACTCGCAGTCTTCATGAAAACTTCTTAACATCCAGCCACGCCCAATGTTAATGCTTTGGCATTCATCGATAATTGACGAGAGTAATAATTCAGTTACAATTATTTTGATTTATCTCTCTTATCGTCAGTAATGAACTTGAATCATCATTAGTTATATGTGGGTAATTTCCGCATTCATGAAAGGGATTACTCAAAGTTCATCAAATCACTAATTTTTCCCTGCTGGCGCGCACAATGTCTGAATAAGAGATAGCGATGTTTACGTGATTTCACTTATGTCAGTCAGGCATATGCTATTAAAAGCGGATGTGCTTCAATTTTGCCCAGGATACATTAGTCAAGGGCATTGAGTCAGCGCCGGTGTTACTCATAAATATCGATAAAAATATTTAGAAATCCGCAAGATATCAAACGATTTCATGTATCAAACATAAGTTTATATTTGCTAATCATTCTTCTATGATAAGTAGAAAACTTTGAAAGCAACAGAAATTATATTCGATTCCACGGAAATTGTGAACGCTTTGTCAGATTTAATCAAGTCATTTTTACATTAAAATGCTCACAGCGCAATTGTGAGAGAAATTTTTTGATTTGGTACCTTCCAGAAAGATAAATCTTCGGATTTCAGCTTGGCACAAAAATTACCACTCTCTTCCGGTATACATCACAATCTTCAATCGTGCAGATTCTTTGCTACATTGTCATCTATTTCATCTACGGTAATCCATCTTTTCATTTTTAATATTTTTATTTCATTTTTTATTTTCGAATAGATTTGTACAATCTAATATTGGTTATTGTCGAGACATGTGTGTAGTTATTCAGGTTGGCAAACGATTGAATCGGACATCCTAACAACAGCCAATGAGCCGAGTTCAGTCTCGCTTGTGCAATATTTGACTCGACCAACAAGCCCCGTCTATTCGATGCTCATGTTCACTTTGGTACCCGCCTTATTATGCGTGAGTATTTATTCATATTTATTATCCTGAACTACCGTATACTTTTTGACTCTATGCGCCCAAATTCTGCAACAACTTTTGTGATACGCAAGCTTTTCCGTTGCATTACTGTATTTATCTTGTTTTTTCTTTTCTGTTTCCATCCTTTCTGTTTTGGGCTTGAAGATAGCTAATCATTTCGATATATTTGGTGTCTGGAAAATGAGAAGTCAAAGATTTAAACCAGATACTGTCAATAACTCATTACCAAAAGTTGCCAACATCCTAGGACTATTCAATGACTTTCGTCACTTCGAGAAACTTTGTCTCCGAACACGAAAGACAAAGTCAAATAATCATATCTAATACGTGTTTACAGATGTCATTTTTCTAAACTCTTACTGTTTCATAAATCAAGGGGATTTAAGGAATTTGAGGGATTTGTTTTCTTTCAACTTTTTCTGCTTTGATTACAAGCATAATCCCTTTTATGATAGTTCTCAATGGCAAATTACTGTCGTTATTCTTTCTTAACATAAAACATCAAATAAGGTATAGCTTACGGAATGCCTATGTATCAGCATATGTCAAATAGTATGAGTCTAAGCACTCTGATCTAATTGGTACAGTTACAAAGGTTACAGCTTAGTGAAAATAAATCAGGATCTGTTGATTGTGTGATTCTATTTGTTGTTGATTTTACGAAAGTAACTCACTGAAGATGGCTTTCTTACAGCTACCTCCATATAATAGTGATCATTTATTAACTTCTATAGCAACAAAAAGTATTTGAATGCGCCCATTCACTTGATTTTGTGCTTGAAGAAACGATCACTGAAAAATTGGAGGTAGCGGAAAACTGTCACTTACCTTACGCAGTGCATTAATATCAATTTCAGGAGAAGAAGAACATTGCTGAATTATCGCAGTTATCACCGCATTTTGTACCCTCAAACTCTCAAACTTTTTAGCGTTAAAATTTTACGTTTTAGACCAAGTTTACCGCTGTGTTCGATCTATTGCTGCGAGGTAACGATGTGCTACAACACATAGATGCTGGAACATGCTTCATCCCTGGACCCCTTTGGGCTCGCAGATTTATCGGTTACGGTAAGTAAATTACATAGTTCAAAGATATCGAGACAAATCTGTACCATAGTGCTTGTTTTCACCTTTGCGTCATCAGGTTTAAGCTTCACAGAATTTTCCTGTTCTTTTGAAAAATAACTCCAAATTTTCCAGCATACATACGTATACGCAAAAATTGTGCTTTTCTACCTACCACTAAAATCTCTCAGATTATCTTGACCAGTCCATGGAGCTCTTAAAGCGGAGCTTTTAAAGCAGAGCTTTTCCACATAAAGATTACGTGATGCAAATTTATGTATGATGACACTTTTTCAGGTATAATGTTCGCACCAACTTTGATTGTCACCATATTCGCATCGTATACGATGTATATAATGATGGCTCGTCACAAGTTACCGTTCCGAGATCTGCTTAAGCCTACCAGCGACTGGATGGCTCACACTGCTGTGAATACGGTAAGAAGACGTGTCTAGGTAAATTTGGACATTACTCATCGATAAAATTCTGGCAAGACTGAATAATGATAGAGAGATATGTGCACACCCTTTTTCTGGTAAAGATACTTTCTTTTCAGACTAGACCTCGGCCACATTCGCTTGCCTATGGTCTCTACAACAGTCTGTTCCAACTAAGCTATGAGACCGCATTCTTTGGACTATTCCTCGTTGAACTCTTCTTCGGTGTTGCCATCTTCTGTGTTTTCGCTCTCAACTCACTTTCGATCGTTGGTGAGCTCATTTTTATTATACAATTCGTGTTCCAAAAATATTAACATACTATTGAGGCTTCTCCACATCACACACTGCAAATGACTATCGTGCGCTGATGTTGTTCACATTCGTACTGCTTCATGGATATGCTCTGATAGAAATGAGAAAATGTCAAATAAAGGAGGAGCAGCCTAATCGGTATGTGCTTTTTTGGAAGCAGTTCTCTAGCTGCACTGTTAAAACAAGTTATTTGCTTTTGTAAAAGGTGCCAAAATGTTTGCTTTCGTTTTTCGGCAGGGAGGAAAGTATCTGACTGTAGCAATTTAACACAGATATATTCGCACTCTTTGAACAGATATTTTAACCCAACAAAGAAGTAATTCATGAGCAACATAGGCATAATAATAGAATGATTTCTTTTTGAATTAAAGAACAAGTCCTAAAACTGCAAAATTAAAGGCCATACCTAATAGCCGTGTCGTCATACTTTACTTCTCAAACAGTTCCTTTTCAGGCTGATGCTCTACATTGGAGTGGCAACTTTGGAGACGGCCATGCTGAACGGCTACATGTGGATGTACGCATCGGATCATTCATGGGGCATAGATGCGGCCCCGTTGACCATTATCTTCTGCACGACATGTGAGTTTGTTCGAAAATGTAGGAGAAAAGTAGCAGAATTAGCACATCATAATTTTGAAAGTAGACACTAAGCAAATCCAAGGATGTAGGTGCCGCGCGACCGCCCTGCGGCCTTACTGTGGACTACGGTAGGGTAATAGTTTGCACTCCGTGCTAAAGAGCAGACCAGTCAGTCTCCTGCTCTCTGCGTCTCTGATCGTAACTTGGGACCAATATTTCTAATCTTATCTACGATTTGAATGTTGATACAAACGCAGAATTGAAACAGCTGACTCCCCCGCCTACTGTAGTCGCCTTGGTCCTGTAACGAAACACTCTACCGTACAGTGAGACAAAGCGCAGAACGGTTGTCTACCTTTCCTCAACAGACCATTAGCTTATCAAGCGTGCGCTTATAAACTATAAAGAAACCCTCTTACATGAAAATTATATTTGTATCCCTATCTCTATGATATTCTAGTGATTCGCGGATGTTGTATTCTACTCGGCATAGCAATTCGAGCTCATCTTTTGGATCAAATCCGACCGACACGAACACGAGATGCCACTGAGGTAAGTCACATTACTAGCAAACAAAACTAATTTAGTGTCATTGTCATTGCGGTTCCCAAGACACTTGCGCGTGAAAAATGGCGATGGAGCGCAAGGCTTTCAAATGGCTTAACATAGCAATCCATGAAAAAATTGCTTGAAATTTCACAACACCTGCTGTAGTGGCTACAGATACACGTTGGCTAGTTTTGCGCATCATTTTAATTTTTTACGAGCAGGTGTTGTAAGCACCGCATTTGCACTAAGAGTGAAATAACTAAACTATGGATTCCTTCCCAGTCCCAGCTGTTTATGAGGGGAAATTTTTAGCATTTTAGCCAATTTTTTTCTTAAAAATTAGTAAAAGGGGCACTCTTCTCCGAACAACATTATCATCGTTTTCTCTCTAGATCTACGAAGTCGACACGGTGCTGGCAATGGATGCCGAGGATGACTCTCCGATTATATTTGACCTCGCCCGAGCCTGATCAGCTGCTGATTCAATTCACTTCTTAGTTTGTTGCCTAGCTGACCCGTTGTATCTCTCATTGCGTTTCACTTTCAGAATTCGCGCATATAATTGTCGCTGTTGTGTACTTTCACGCCCAATATTGCAGCTTTGCGTCACTTTCAGTTCCTTTGAGAGTTTATCTGTTGAATCTGTTAACTAGCCTGTTCTAGTCGAAGCTTTCTTGAGAAATTTTGTCACATTTTCCTTTTGCGCCCGCCTGATCCTCGTTCCTTTTGGCAGCTAGCCAAGATGAATCTGGCAACTTGCACTAGTGGATCGCCAGCGTCAATCATGTAACATATCGCTTATCTCAGTTGTTATTTGCCTACCGGTACTATTGAACACTGTGTTAAATGTGTAAAATGTTGAATAAAGCTTGTTATAGGATGTACAAAACAAGATCGATGCTAATATGCTCTTACTATTAGGTTGTCCCAAAAGTAAAATCCATTTTCAATCAACTTGAGCAGTTTTTGTTTTCCTGATAGGTTTAGGGTGCCATTCCATAGAGTGGAGCAAGCTCTACAAAAACACCACCGAGGATCCACCTAAGTCTTGTCCCAGGCAAAGTTTGGAGCCAAAAATCAAATTTTTTTCAGTTTCTTAAATATCGGATCTCCTTCCACAAGATTCTTACAGACTTCCTACTTCTCCTTTATATAATAGACACATAGTAGTACCCAAAAATGTATTTGGTGAATTTTTTCGGGGCTCAAAACTGTGAAACAAAGATAGCAAAAATGCTAATTCTACTTTTTTCGAGTTCTGAACCTGGCATTTTCGATCATAAGAGCACATACAAGGGTAAAGTTTTGAGATTATACTTACGAGAAAATGGTCAGAATTAACTCACCCATTCCAGACAAACTGTATATCTTCGGACTTTAAACGTCTTAAAACGCTAATTTGAAGTATATGTTCTTTATCTACCAAGCGACTATCTGTGAGGAGTGAGCGTTCAAATATGAGAAATTCTGCGATTTTTGACGAATATATTTCCTTGAAAGTAGCTTGATGGCGCGGATTCACGTATGGTCATTTTGGTTACAAAAAAGAAGTACATTCACCAAATTTTGAGTAAGTGTTTTAGAGACTTATTTCGTGGAACATGCGCCACAGAACATTTGACAAATCGCACATTCAAACGCTCATCACTGTTTTCAGTCGCTTCGATACTTACTTAGATACTTAGATGGCCCTGCTTCACGTGACGTGCGGGCCCCAGCACAGAAGTTTCCATCGATCCCTGTCCCTCGCTTCAGACATCCACGATTTTCTTGGCTGTCGTCGGTGGCTGCGTCCACGGTTCCAGATGTGATAATCGTATCCAGCTGATTTCACAGCTGGTCCATCCATTCCGTGAACACGTCTGCCCACCTCGTCGGTGGTCTTCCTCGAAGACGTTCGGCTTCGCGAGGAATCCACTCAGATGTTCTTAGTGTCCATCTGTCGTCTGTTCTTCTCGTTATGTGACCGGCCCATCGGTGTTTGGCTTTCGCAACGTATTCCTCTGGGTCACGAAGACGGGACATTCTTCTCATATCCGTGCTGCGAAGTCCGATTAGATGTTGCTTGCGTCGGGTCATCTTCAGAAGTCTGCGCTCGAGCGCTCTATGGGTGGTCCGTAAAGCTTTCGACGTGGCTACAGTTTCGGCCCAGAAGCTGCGTAACAGAGCGCCGGGAGGATGGTTGAGTCGAACAAGTGGGCACGAAGCTCCGGGTCTGTCAATTGGTTGGTGGCTTCCTTTAAAGGTCCGAAGGAGGCCCAGGCTGCTTTTCTTCTCCTGTTAAGTTCTTCGCTAAGTTGTTGTTCGTTCCATGTTCATGAACGTCCGAGATACATGTAAGAAGACTTCTCCATAATAGGGGTGCCTTCCGATTCCATTTCTGCGTCTTCGCAAAGTGCGTTTTTCATAAACTGAGAGTCTTCTTCCGATATTCGCAATCCGACCTTCTTCCCTACTTCGTTTAGTTCCTTCAGCATCGTTTCTGCTTCAGCGATACTGCTCGAGAACAGAACGATGCCGTCCGCAAAACGAACGTTCGACAGGAATCTCCCATCAACTCGTAAGCCTATCTCGTCCTAGTCCAGTCACTTCATCACACATTGCAAGGCCGCGGTGAACAGCTTCAGCGAGATCGTGTCGCCTTGTCGGACCCCATTCCCAGTTGAGATGGTCAGGGGGCGATGGAATAGCTGCATCGTCGTTGTACAATCCTTGTAGCAGTCGTCTAACATCCTCTTAGGTGCACTCCCTGATCGACTAGCGCAGGCAGGATGGCGTTGGTTTCGACGCTGTCAAAGGCTTCCTCGTAGTCGACGAAGATTAGGACGGGAGGAAGTCAGTACTCCAGGCAGACTTCTATGAGCCTCGAAACCGTCTGGATGTAGTCCTTCCAGTTGAATCCTTTGCGAAATCCAGCTTATTCTTGGGGTTGGGCTTCATCCAGTGTCCTACATATGCGAGCTAGGATAATCTTCGTGAAAAGCTTGTACAGCACACTCAGCAGGCATATTAAACGGTAGTTTCAAAGATCCTCCCGTTCACCCTTTTTGAAGAAAAGGACTGTTCTTGACAATCCTCTCCTTCTAAAGGTAAGATGTTAAATGCGACGCTAGAACCTCGTGTAGGTGGTGTCCTCCGGCTCGCGGGAGTTCGACAGAAATATGATCTAGTCCTGGACCCGCGGACGTCTTTATGGTCTGAATCGCCGTGCGCACTTTAGCAGGTGGAATTCATGTTGGTACTTCTCCAGTGGGAAACAAGGGCACCGGTACGGGTGTTGATGAGCGGAAGAAGTTGGTATAGAAGTTCCTCGCGATAGATTCCGTCTTGTATCGGGAAGAAGTCGGGGTCACGTCTTCGTTACATAGTGCAGCCAGCGGCACGTGATATTCGCAGAGGTCCCTTCGGCACTTTTTAAGACTTCGTATTCCTCCGGCTCTTCCTGAGAGCCTCCTACAAAGCTGTTCTGCAACTGGCGTTGGTTATCAGTCGCTCGAGATGGGCTGCATTCGGATCCTACCTCAGAAGTCTTCTTCTTTCGAGCAATTCCTTAGTGGTCTTCGAAATGCGTTCCAAGTTCTTCTCAGAGCCACTGAGGCGCACTCTCCGCAAGTTCGCAATCCTTTCAAAAGCCGATCGTAGTCGTGCGTTGGATCCTCCTCGATGGGGCAGTCACAACTTGGTATGAGCTCTTCCACCATGTTACCGTCATGAACAATTCTTCGTTCTTGCGGTACTGCTGCAGACCTTCTTTTCCAGCTTTCGACTAAATCGCACCTTCGCTCGAAGGAGGCGGTGATCGGAGCCAATGCAAAAGGATGGAACTACAGACATCGAGCAAGCCCACCATCAATTGGTGAGAATGTGCCAATCTCCGCATGAGTCGTTCCGTCGGGCGATTCCCTGTCCAACGGCGATGTTCTTTCTTCATAAAGATTGAATATTCATGGAAGAGTCGTGCGGCGGAGAGAAGCCCAACGAGATAGTTGCCGTTTTCGTTCCAGAGCCCATACCTAAACTTCCTATCCTATACTCCTTTTCTAGTGGCATCCCGATTTTCAAGTTGAAGTCGCCCACAACAAACTTGTAAAAGGACTTCTCGTTGCGACGACCCCCTCCACATCTCGTTGCGACGACCCCCTCCACATCTTCTTAGAAAGCATCTAGTTCTGATTCATCAGCTGTTAATGTTGGAGTAGCAGTTGATGATGCTGATGGTCTTCTGACGTGGAGATTCGTAGTCGTAGTATGGCTAGTCAAGGCGATAGGATCTCATGCGCGACAAGATGGACGATAGATGATGGGTGGACGACAAAGCCAACGCCTTCAACGTTTCGTGATGGGACCTTTTCACCACGAATGATGAGGGTCCCATCACTCATCTGTCGCACGTCCTAATTGTTGGACTTCGTCTCCTGCAGAGCAATGACGTGGTACTTGATGTGCTCCGCAGCGTCGAGAAGAACGTGGAGATCGGTGTTTGTGGAGACTGCTGGCGTTGTAGGCGCAGAGCATGAGGCAGTTTCCATGACGTGTCGTCCGGGCAAACTTGTCGTTTTTGTCCAATCCAAAAGGCGCCCTGATGACCCTGGCATCGTTCTTGCCACCATCCGACGCCATAGGAGGGATCGGGATCCGATGAACAGGGTTTATTTCATCTCTTCTTGCTGACGGACTAATTAAAATCTTCCCCTACAAGAGCAGACTTACTAGGCCAACTCTTGATTTCCACGGGGCTATCCCTGACTCAGGGTTTAAAGCGGGGAGAGCCGCCAAATGACTAGAAAACCAGACGCGGTGGATCTGGCCTGGCCGGCTCTTAGCTAGGCGTCCGGCCGAGACCGGAAACTCGAACTTCTTCACAGCTTGGGAGGCCCTGCCAGAGTATACACTCGGCTGTGCATCGCAGTTCGACACCCAGTGTCAACCCCACGCCACGTTGAGGCGGCCGACCGTTGAGAGGTGTGTCGCTTCGATAATAAACACAATTTGTGGTCAGCGTTCCAAGACGAGTCCGATGATGCTCCATGTCTGGTATGGCTGGGTTAAGTTCTGTCCATCTGCCATCCTGCTTAGTAAGGCTTGTAGTATACAACGACATATGTGGGAGGGGCTGAGGGCGGAATTTGCCATTTTTGGACCACCTTCTTTTTCACTCTTTCACGCGCGGAAAAATCCATCCAGTAACAATCTCTTTTGAACTTTCCGGATGGCGCGTATCGCCACTCCAATTTTTATCCTTTGGGGAAAAGCAGTATAGCTTTTGTACTTGGACCATTACATCTTTCTTCAAAATAAAATACTTTGCAAAATTTGAGCTGTACAAACTGCAACCTCGAACTTACAAGAAAAACCTTCGAAGACTTCGACACCAGCCGGACATCTCACGAGAGACACTTTGAGTGCGCGCGCACTTCTTCACATCCCCGTTCGTTCCCAGTTCAACATCGTTCTGTTCCATCGATCCACTTAATGGCTTAATGATTCGCTTTTGTTCGATCCCTAGTTTTAGAAAAATCTTAGTAAATTACTCAGAAAGTCCATAAGCTGTTATCTACTCCCTCGTTCTCGAGTCTATACAAATTTGTGCATTCTTTTCCTATTCAAACTCTTTTTAGAGTGATTGTTTGTCCTAGATGTTCATTTTCTCTGACCATAGTTGAATAAGCCGGAAATGGTTTGTACAGCTCGTCGGAAAGCGCGGGGGGGGGGGGAACCCCGTAACCTATGAAATTGACAAATTCTGGGTTAAAAAATATCTCCGAATGTACAACAATCCCAAAATTGTCAATTCTTCGCCACAAAATTTTGTAGTTGTTACTGCCATAAGCATAACGGGAAATCGTCGTGACTTTGTAGCAAAATAGATCATTCTCAACTTTTTGAAAAATCAATTATCATTGGCGTTGATGCATGTATAACGCACATAATAATATCTGTGGTGAAAATGGCAAGGGGAAAAATTTTGTTACGAAGAGATACCCACTCTCTGAGATACTTGGGATGGATTATTAGAATGGAGCATATGTAAGTTTTGCATTAAAATTCAAAAAAATTCACGTAAAAATGCTCAGAGCAACGTTTTAGTCTGCACACTATTCTTTCATTGTACATGATTTATGCAGTATTTTATCATATACCTGTGAGATTCCATCTAAAACAATGTCGAAACAGAAGAAAAAGATTGGAAATATTTTATCTTAGTCCAAGAGCATGGATATAAAATCCGGATAAAAAAATATATTCGAAAACTTCTTGCCTTTTTTGCATGACGGAACTGGAAAAGTCATTTGGATGCTTGCAATCAACAGGTTCTGTTTTTGCGATATGGCAAAGACGAGCTGATTTGAGAACATTTAGAAGGGATAAGGTTTCTTCTTCCTACTAAATATAATATATTAAATCGAACCAAAAGTTCGTTCGCACCATTTTCAAAAAAAGCCTAACTTTGTTCTATCAAAACGTTTCTGCTCTTGTTGGATTTTATTGCAAAGCTTGAAGCATGCTTTGAAATGATGGCGTAATGACCTTCAGTCAGGTTCGGGTTGCAGAGATAAATGGAAGAAGCAAATTTTCCGATAGCGATTTGAGACAAGCCCTTTGAAAATCCAAAAACTGTGCAGTAAAATTCAAAACATTCAAAACAGCCATTGCCATAGGTTTTCTGACTTTCTCTTTCTACTAGCAAAGTTTGTGCTGATTGAGCTATTTTTTGAAAAGTTATGATTTTCGAGAAAAAATGCCAAAAAATTACTTTTCCGAAAAGATTAATTTTTTGGCAATTTTTTCGAAAATCATAATTTTTCAATCAAGAGGTCGATCAGCACAGACTTTACTCGATTCGAAAGAGGAGGTCAGAAAACTAAGGATAATGGCTGCTTGGGATTTAATTGCACAGTTTTTGGACTTTCAAGGGGCTTGCCTCAAGTCGCCGGATTTCGAGAGCTTTCCTTTCCATTTTTGTCTCTGTAATCTGAGCTTAGCTGAAAGTCATCAAGCTACTTTTGGAAAGTACATGCTTTATGCTGGGCAGAATTCTCTTGATAGAAAGAAGTTACGATTTTTTGAAAATGGTGCGAACTTCCGGTTCAACCTATATTTCAAACAAAATCGTCGAAAATTGAGGAGATGACGAAACCTGAAAAATGGTTTCATAAAATAATTCGTAAAATATCGTAGTCCTTTTCTTCCATCTCGGAAATTTCACTGACTAACAATTCTGTTACTCCTTCATCCAGATTGATTCACTTGCACAGAGAAAGGAAGACTTCAAGCTTGTTTTGCCCCGAAAAATCAATAATAATAATACTAGAACAATCCGCAGAAAATTACTATCTGTTTCTGTCTTTTTTCCGTAAATGTTTACGCAGGCAGAAACAATTCGTGGAAGAAAAAATTTCCCGCAAAAATGATAATTGCTTACTTCTCTTTCTAAACCAGTGATTACATTCTTCACTACCATTCACGCTTACTATGGAAAATTCAAAATTTAGGCTTTTTCCTCTCAAAGAAATTTTTCGCAATAAATCTCGTAGAGTTGTGGATCAATGGTAAATTCAATGCCGCGGTTGTCATTTTACTCCTCTTCTCCCATAAAAATATAGGTCAGCACATTCTGCGCGAATGTCTCCGACGTACGGAACACTTATGTGACGTCTTATTTCCTCCCGATACTTTTCCTAGAAATATTGCAGGTTTATAGATTTTACAGACTATATGTACTTGCCTAACGCAGAAACTTGTCTGATTCTCAGACCGTCTCACTATTCAAAATTTTTCTTGCTTTTTCGTGTTTCCAATGCGGTAATGAATTTTGGAGTTAAAATCCAAAATTCCTGCGTTGGAGTAAGACTGCTGCTTACTGTAGGACTACTGTAGGGCCATGATGAAAATCTGAGCTTGTAAACTTGATTTGACTCATGGAACAACCTCGTAAAGGACTACTTGAAAATTTTCATGCACTTTCCCTGCAGATATCATAAAGCAGACAGTAAAATCTTTTTCGTTTTGTAATCTGTGTTTGTGGCTAAGACTTTTGTTTTATTAACATCTAATTTCTGCCATATTTGTGCGAATTTACAAATGTTCTTATAGCTACCCTTTGATTCAACTGGCTTGGCGGCTGAAAGGCGAGGGCTTCGTGACCTAATCAAGGCTAGGTAATGATCAGAGAGCACGAACGCGGGAGATACGCAGACTGCATCGCGGGCGCGATTAATTAGGTCACGAAGCTCCAACTTCCAGCCGCCAAGCCAATTGAACAAAGGGTTACGCTTATATAAATTTAAGATTTAGATCAGATTTTGAAATACTCAATAATAAATCTATTCGAATCCGGCTTACTCTTGACCCTTCATCGGTTGATGCCCACTAATATCATAATCTAAAAATAATTCACAATCTGAAACATCTATCCTTTTCTGCCACAGTCAAATGATCAAATTATTTCGCTCTATTTACTGCTAGTATGGATAGATTGGGCCGATTCGCACGATAATCTCACCACTGTCCTTACTTGAAGTGATGCTCAGATTGAATAGTTGAAAAACTATAAGTTGAGCGATTATATCTTCTCACAGTGGTGTAGATAAGTCAGACCCACAAAAGGTTTTCTCCATTCACTCACCCATGCAGAAACTGTAAAAAAAATTTACGAATGTTTTTTCTACTATTGTATGGAATAGCGTGGTATATCGTCATAAAAACGCTTCTCCTACTTCCAAGAATTGATTACCTACGATTGGATCAAGCCTGCACATTTTCAGACTTCTCTTCTTTGCCAATTCTCTTGTGGCTATGGAGAAGGTAAGTACATTATTTACCACTGTTTTATCGGAGAATTTGTCATTAAAGATGTTTTAGAAACGGGCCCCGCATACTGGATGTCTGCCCTACTGGGTGGAGGTCTGGCTCGTCGTATCGGCGTTCATATGTCTCATCGATGTTCTGTTCACCATGCTGCGACCGTACACAACAGAAGGCATTCTATCAGGAGTTTATTTCGCATGTGAGTTTACTTTGAGAAATACTACAGTCCGTGTCAATCACGTGCTCACTTTCCCGTAAACGCAATGAGCTTCGCATCACTTTTGCGCGCGCATGACGCGGGCATTCAAATGAGCCTCATCGATTGGAAATCCGCACGCAGGGCCTGCGTTGCGCATGCGTAGTTCGCATGCGAAAGGGAACACGTAATTGGCATTGAGTGTATATGCAATGTGTTCGGTTCATTATAGCCTCTATGCTCTCATAGAAAATTAGACGTATAGTGACTTTGCGGTGTCCTGTGCTGTCAACAACACTTGCGCGTAAGAAATGGTCGTGAAAGACCTAGAGCAGGAATTGGACTTTGCCTTCATTTTCTACAAACAGGCGCTGCAGATAATTGTTCTTTCGAGCATCTACTTTCAATTTTTTCTTCGTTTTTTTGGCCAAGTATGTTAGAAGGGGTGCGGTCGTCCCATACTAAGCATTTCATAAAAACGGTCATATCAGTGGCGTTACGAGATATTATTTGAGGGGAGCAACGGTAATTTTTATCTAATGGAGAGGCGCGGCATTCAAGCTCGAAAGCTTTCTACTTATTCCATGAAAAGTGGAAGTGGCGGTTGATTTTAATTTTTGGAAAACTTCTAAAAGTGACTTCGACAAACTGATTTGTAAACCACGTTTATTTTGCTTTTTAACACGTTGACGACCGTGTGCATCCGCGCATATGCACGCCCTGACCACCTTTTAGCACTTCGTGCATCCAATCATGTGTAAACGAAAAGTTCTCAGGTAACTTCTATGCAGTGATAACACTGGTGGCCTGGTTGTCATATAGAACACACGCACTGCGGTAGCTGTTAAACAGTCTAAACTGCAGCCGTAGATCATCAGTCCATTTTGATGTGGTCAAAAATGACTCGGTCTTCAACGTGTTAAAAACACTCTAAGTAGAATATTCTTAGTGAATCATGTGTGTATATAAATATGTAAGAAAATTTTCTGTTTCATTGCAGTTATATGGAAGCATGAAAAAACTAATCCACTGATAGATGTATCGCAGAAAAAGTTCTGAAATTTGAAATATACCTGGTTTTGTTTCACAACCCAGTCCAACTGTGGATTCAAAATTAGATAATTCTAGCGAAAAACAGTTCAGCTGAAAATTTCGAAGAAGGAATTGAAATTTCATCTTTGCAGGGAATCTCTATGCAAGTGTGGACGTACGCTATGCGGACCCAAAGGACATCGTAACCTGCGCTACAGGGCGTATAATGCTTATTGAGATAGCTATGAATCTAGTCGCTGTGTATTTGGTGAGTTTTATTTGGAAACGCAAAAAAAATTACATGTAATTTATTTTTGGGGTAATTCTACCATGGTCGACAAATGAGCAATTTCTTAAAGAAAGATTTGGGGGAAAACTGAGCAAAATTTGAATTACATACCCTTAACAAATTTGATTTTCACTCGGCACAGCCTTGGTAGAAACTTTTACGAGATGTCTATTTTCTCAAAAAAAACTTTTCATTTCATTATTCCTCCCCCCGCCCTCTCCACCTTGTCTTTTTGGTAGCCGTAATTTCATGAATTTTCTAGCCCTGTCTTGCACTGGTGAATATTCTCAAAATCTATGAAATATTACAGTCCCGACGACGGTCACGACATGCTCTAGTCACTGCTTTTACAACTACCGCTTTTGTATTTTGGAAGACGTTATGGTACTTTACTCTCTATATTGCTCCCCCACCAGGTAAAGTGCCTCTGGATTTCTTGCATCTCCTAGTGTTTTTCAAATTCATAATCCTATCTTAGGCAATGAACCCTACTTCACAGAAGACAGCACCTATCTCGATATTTTTCTAATTTTCTGGATTCCTAACGGTGAGTATTGCCATCCTGGCACATTATATACATTATATCATTATATCACCAAAATGCATATTTTCAGGATTTTGGGTTCTTGTACCTTTCGTCGTTATGATCTCATTATGGAATAAATTGGCAGTCCCCGTAGAGAAAAACTATGAGGCAGTAGGAACAGCGTAAACATTCACCTGCTATTTGACCTGTGTTTTATACCAGATGCCAAAGAACTTGCGATTAAAAATGTTCCTTTGTATTTATCCCTGCTATTTTGCCGTTCCTTTGTATTTATCCTCTGTATTTATCCTGCTTCAGGGTTGGCTTTACAGTTATTGATGAATAGCAAGCAATAAACTTTGCTAATTATCTAAGTTATAGCACTCGCTCTTGGTTGCAACATCAAAGAAGAGCTCAAAGCAGATTTGACTGGGTTTTTTTTCATGAGAAACGGGAAGGCTTACTAAGCTACTACCTGAGCGGCAGCTCAAACAACACTCAAGGCAAAGAAATCAAGGTTCAAACTGTCGCCCTCTACCGTACTCAAGCACGTTCTTCTTGGATGCCCACTCTGTAAGCGCGTGGTACTCGACAAGAGGTTAAAGGAGAATTTTGCGGCCATGAATGAATTGTGCATGGTTCTTTGGGTAATGGCGTGGTTAAAGGCAGCGTCCAGGCAAGATCCATCCACCCAGATTAGCACGTAGTTGTAAAGAGGGGCCCATGAGTATCCGATCTGCGTTGGTCCGATCCTTTGGCGTGGCCTCTGAAAGTAGAGAAGGGCCTGTGATACGTATCACAAACCGCCCCTTCGTATCACAAACCCCCTCTGAGGACGAGTGCTCAAGCAGTTTTGCAGTTGCATTGCAGTTGCACTGCACACTGCAATGCAACTGCATCCGTGCAGTGCAGCTCCTATCAAGCTGACATGCGATGGAGACGAGCAATCCAAAACTCGTCCACTTCTTGAAGAGTGGGTCCCCAAGAGTCGGGTTTTTTGGGGGTTTTAAACAATTTGGACTTCACAACTGTAATCAGGGCCACGGAAAGGTCCCAGAATGGCAGAAACATGAGAGGCGAAATTTTGCCCGGACGCTGCCTTTAAGGGCTCTCAAATAGTTCCCTTTCCCCCACAAAAAACCCAGGTAATCAAATTGACCTGGACCCCTTATTAAGCCCTCGAAAACACAGACAATGAAGATGAAATCCCTATGCTGAATAATAGGTCTTCAAAAAACCTCGAATAAGCAAGGGAAATGTCAGGTGAGAAGTACCCTATGGACTAACACGACAATTTATGCAAAACATTATTTATAAATCAACCTAGTAATCGCAGCTCACGCAATACAGTAACACCCACTTTCCCTGCGCACCAAAGCAAATGTACATTCCTATCACAAATAATCAGGTATATCACAAGATATCAGATGAAAGTAAAACAAAAGTGCAAGAAACCAATGTTCATTTCTTCTGTGTTGTACGAAGCTTCTTATTTGAAGTCGTTTTCTGTTTGTTTATAAACTTGTGACCATCGTGCCTGAGATGTGAGACAATTTCAGAAGAAAACAATTCGAGCAAACTCCTGCATATCTAACCTGCTCATCAAGGTAGGATCACGACAACCTTTACCACCTTCCCAGAACTGAGACCGATTGCGCGTTACTGACGCATTGCAGTTTATGCATGGTTTCCCAACAGTAAAGATCTAAAATAAAGTGCAGCCGTCACCGTCACAACATCGCCATTTTCAAAATGGTGTCGTGATGGAACACATGTGGATCCATTACAGATCCAATTCGGATCTGGATGCAGCGCTAAATTGCGCGCAAAATGCAAAAGGCGCTGCGCTCAAGTGTGAATTGCGGCAGAAACTAAGTTTGAGTAGTATTCGCGAGAATGAGATTATAGCTTTGCATCCCAGATCACCTAATGAAGCGTTTTGGAAGCAGTTTTGAGCATTCCTTCAGGTCCAGATCAGGTCTGGATCGCCTCGGTATCTTCATGCTACAGGTATGTACTTTGAACAAAGAGTTTGCTTACCTGTTCCTTGCTACAGTGCCCACAAATCATGCGATTCGCCACTTTCATCTCATGCTCGCCTCCCACAAATTCTTCATGGCAAATATCACAAGGGAACGCCCTCCCACAACATGGGAACCTAGACAGATTACGATTACGCCTTTTACGCCACCGGATTTATGGGAATCTCAGACAATAACGCGGACGAGCGGCGGGCCTTAACGGCTTTCCGGGCGAGCGGCGGGCTTTGATTTGTGGGCGTGGCTTTCTTGCGGACGAGCGGCGTACCCTCGCTACCGAGCGTGCGAGCGGCGGACCTTGATTTGACCAGCGGCGGCCCATCCCCTCAAGCGGGTGGGCGGCGTACCATTAACACGTTAAACTAACTTGCCATCATTTCTATGTGCGAGTCATTCTCATTTAGTGTTATTGCGGCGTGAGGGCGGACAACTAGCAGTGGCCAGCAACAATAAGAAGGTAAGTGTGCTCAGATAGTGCTATATAGCTTGCACCTTTGCACCTTTTTTCCGCTCATGAGAATGTGATCTTGTTGTTTACTTCGTTGATACTTATTTTGTTCCGGTTTATCATCTCGTGCTGTTTCAATTCATGACGCTGAGCATGCTATTGCATCTGCTTTTGCATGTGGTTAGCTTTTCTAATAAACTATAAAACGTTACAATAATTGTTTGTACATATCTATCTCAAGCATTTAGGCGTTAGCACATCTGCCCATAGGAAAAGAAAGGAGAGATTATTAACGCAATGACAGTAAGCTGTCAAATCCGTGCAGTCTTCAGAAGAGGCATATCTCTAGAGGGAGAGCGAGACAATATATAGATATTAGCCCGCCAAAGGCACTCCGCTCGTCCGCTTTGATGCGAGCGGACGAGCGGAGTATTTTTAGCGGGAGAGTGGAGGGAAGTACTCCGCTCGCCCGCTAAGGGTACTCCGCTCGCCCGCTAAAGGTACTCCGCTCGTCCGCTTTATATCTGTAGCGGGCGGCCCGCGTGCCTCTACAGGACGAGCGGCGGGAGGCATGATCGCCCGCCCGGTAATGGCCCGCCGCTCGTCCGAGTTATTGTCTGAGAATCTATCGTCGTGGAAAGCTGTACTATAATTTCTATTAATCTCGCACATTGATTCCACTAGACATGAGCGGATTTCAGATTCTTCTTCCTTTTTTGGAATTCAAAATTCAGCATCTTCTCAAATTTATAGAGTTGACCGCAACTTTTTCACCAATATAGCGAGATATATGCAGATTGTCGGAGATCACTCTTTAATGCATAGCATGTCATTACCGTAATTCGAGGTACGGTACGTATGTTGCAATTCTTTGTTAAAAAAGGCTTCGACACTAGCTGATGGTAAAGGAAGAAATTACCTGAACCATCTGTAGCTCTTCCTGTAATGCTTACACGTGCCAAGTTCTGGCAACGGTTGTCCCTCAACAATTGCGCTTACCACTTTCACCTGAAAAACGCCCTTCACATTACTTGTCTGAGGGTGTAGAACGAACCTCTTTCTTCGCTTTTGGGATTTTGCTCGCTGTCACTTGGTCCTCAGCGGCAATCTTCGCTAAATCTCCTCGGAATCGCACTGCAGTGATAGTGAATTCACAGAGCGTGTGACATTCACGACACCATGATTTGTGTGTTGAGCCAAAATTCAGCTTCTGAAAATCATATTCAAAATATTTGATTTCTAAATCGTTCAGACAAATCTGAGCCAGTTTTTCTCTTGTGGAGATGGTTTGGAAGGCCTTAGACGCAGCTCATGTGATTCGCGTCCGAGAAATCAATTCAGGACCCTCGGCCGCTACCGTACTCAAGGACGCTGACTGGCCACTGGAGTACGGTCTGGGAGAAACTTTAGGATTCAACTTCTCGATCATGATTAAATCATATGAGCTGTCCCTTGTGCTACGGCTAGAACCTCGTCATCAGTTCCCACACAGGAAAAGCTTAGGTGCCCAGATTCCTGGACAATGTCTCCAAACAGAAATGTGGTCTCTACCTGCACATCATCTTCTTTGTTACAAGCCAAACAAGTAAATCTAAGCTGCGACTGCTGCAGGATGCAATCAAGTGGCCGACAACCTCTTGCTTCAAGTAGTGCAGTAATCGAAGAATTTTCGTGGACGAGTTGGGGCCGAAGTCTGAGAAGTACATGAAGGTAGAATTTAGATGTTTGTTATACACTACCTTATACTCTGAGCGAGTTGGCAGCGTTTGCATCGCCATCCAACTGAGTGATCATCAGCTGGTATGGAATGGTCATGCTCTTGTCCACATCGCATGCATTTACTACAGATATGCAACGAGATTGAAGAGATCGAAGCGATGTTTCGGCTGAAAAAAGACAAGACTTAGCTGCCTCGCCACTTAGTGGGATATTTGGTTGTAAAGATAATTAGTGTAACCGTTTTGATATCTGGTTTGATAATTCACAACTTCCTAGATTTCTACTGTCATTTTTGACTTAGAAATTTGAACAAATTCAAGTAACAAACAAAAAAATTTCTCTGAACATTTTCTCAGTGATTTGTACCTTTTCAAAATGATCTCTGCAAATTTCAAAAGCTCCACTTCCCTAATTTATAACCAAGTCGCTCAGTAGAACTTACTATCAACACTTCAAACAAAAGCTAATAAACTATTAGTCTCTGTTACTCAGCTACTAAGCGCTTGACTCCCTCCCCTCCCATCGTCTGAACCGAAGGAAAAAGCCTTTACTTAACTTGTATCTCTCCAAACCAGCGCTACTTCGATCTCTGGAGTGCTCTGTTGAGGGACCGCTTGAGCATGGTTCTGGGTTACATTGTCGTTCTGAATGGGTTCTTTATCGGTAAGGCTAAGGTTAGCAAGTTCAGCTTCAGACGGCGCCTCGTCAGGGTCACCCGTAAGGGTTATAGCAGGAGCCTAAAATATTCGATCTGAGATTTTCAAAAATTTTGTCCTCACTTCTTCGTTCACCTCTTGCTCTTTCTGAGGTTGCTCACCGTCGGGATTTGGCACAACCAAACGAATTCCAGCTGCTTCAGCCTGGTTATTATCACAGAATTATGCATTTTGCATGAAACAGATGAGTGACTGACTTCTTGTACTAGTTTAGTTTTCTTGAGACCGGCTACGAAAAGTTCGAACATATTTCGGTCAAGCCACCGTACGAAAATCTTTCCAACCGGTTCAAAGGCGTTCTTTGTTTCAAAGTTTGCGTAAGTCGTCTGAAATATACTAATTATGACTACTCCTGCCTTACAAGAAGTCTAAAAACGAACGAATTTTTTCCTTGGACTCACCTTCAAAGCTTCATTACAACCTGCTTCGAGGTGAGATTTCAGAATTTCTGGCAAAGCGATATTTTCGCTAGGAACCATGATAACAGGCACATCTACAGGATGTCCAGTCTCCATTTTGATCCCAAATTTTATGGTTCGCACATCAAAAATCTAAATAAAGATTTTCACAAACAATGTACTTGTGCCCGCAAAAGACAAACCCAATCCGGATCAGTGATTTTATAGTTGAAAACTATTGTGTCTCCGTCTTCATTTTGCATATGGACAGCTTTTGGGAATCTGAAATAAGCTCAATGTATTTGATAATTTCACATTTCACGCGCAGGTGATTCACCGTTTCATGAAAAATTGTATATCCTGCTTCTTTGCATCCAATTGCGCTTGTTCACCTTTTTGCTCTTTTCTTATGATTATTTTGGTAGGGACAATACGAGCAGGGCGAACATTCCCATTTGACGGAGCGCTCACGGGCACAGAGGTAGCGGGTTCGGAAGGAGCAGTGGTAGAACTTGGTGCTTTTTCCTATAATAAAAAGTTGGGAATGGATAGCTTTTTGTATTTTTGAAAAAAAAATGAACTATTTTCAGAGCCGAACGCTGGAGCTGATTTATCCGCATTATGTAAGCATCAGACAACTTATTTACAGACATTTTTACAATTTGATAGTTTTTTATTCTTTTTTTTTGTATTTTTTCACACTCTTGAATGTGTAACGTCCCACCCAGGGTTATCATTATCTTTATCTTAATCCAATATTGCATTCGAGGTGCACCAAATATATAAAAATTGAGTGGAAACACAGACCAACCAAGCCACACCACATAAGAGAAAGTAATAAATACGAATGCTTTTACACTATCTTGGGTTACGGGTTATGGGTTATGGACTTGTGAAAAGATTAGAAGCTTCCAAAAAGGACCGCAGACGCACCCTTCCCCCATACGAGAAAACTTCATCGACCGTCCTCTCCCTTGCGCCCGAAAAAAAAACTCCCAGAAATGAATATTCTTTCTAAATGAATTACAAAAATACAATTGAATATCTATAAAATTACGATCCACAGCTAAACTAGCTTGGAAGTTCAAAATGTCAGTTACACTTGATAATCAAAGCTTGAAAGAGTTTCTTAGAAAAAGACAAACCTCGGGTACATTATCGACACGCTTTTTCGTATGTCTGAAGGGACATGCATCTCCGAGCTTGCAACCTTTCGGCGTATTGAAGTATCGGCAAGGTCTGGGTCTGTTTTTCGGATTCCTTTTCGGAACAGTGGCCGTATCATTACCAGCATTAAAAGACTGCACAGCTGTAGAGCCGGATTCTGAATAAAGGCGAAGAATAAGCTGCGATTGTTCAAGAGCCAAGGAACAGTAATGCAGAAGAAAGACCTTTGAGCAGAAGTCAGATTTAAATGAGAAACGATAATTGGCTGCAATGTTGGTTACAGAAAGTTTTTTAGGTGTAGAGTATATAGGGTGAGGCAAAAGTCTCGGAGTCGAATTTACAGTGTTGTAAGTCACGAAACAACGGATGATTTTAATTTCAAATTCGTGCAACATAATGATGCGATCATCCTCTACAAATCACACCTTACCTAGCTGAAAGCGCTTGCCATATGTATTTGTAAGAACTGTATCTATCAGACAAGTGCTTCTGCGGAGCGGCAAAATCAAAATTTTAGGTACTCACAGTATATTTCGTAGCTAAGGCTACGGTAAATATTCTACAACATTATAATGCATAAAATGTAGAGCGGGCTTTGCGCGATCACATAGTTATAGTTGCGTTTGCCAGAAACTATTTCTTCGAAAATGCAAGACGATAATTTGCAAGGATCAGCTGCGTGCCAGTGGCCATTTGCATTTAGAATATATTTGAAGGCTATAGGAGCGCAGCAGGTACTGAGTTTTAGGCTATATTCTTCCCGTGAGTGTCTTCTGTATAAGCATCTATTAATATTCGATCGATGGAGCGATTTCAATGCTTTTTAAATTATAATTTTTCGCCCCGTTCGCGCAATCGCATCCAAATTTTGAGTATGCAAAAACAGTTCCCTTCATTCAAAATTCCAAAATTTTTTTCAATATTGCAAATAGATTTCTTTGTAATATGATATAGTCAAAAGCTTGCACTGTCATTCTGCATATTTGCCCAGTGAAAGAAGCAGATATCGTAAGAGCCTGGGACGAATTTGATCACGACTGCCTGCGTTCCACGGCAGGCGAATTCGCCAAGATTTCGAAGGGCTGCTTCGAAGGCAAAAGAGGTAATTTCAAAATTTGAGAGCTATGCTGTACTTGTAAAGGTTCAATTTATATGGGAACTCAATTTTTTGTTTCTAGGTACTTTCCCTCTGATTTTAATTGAAAAAGTGCTAGGCTCCCAGACTTTTGCTCCACCCTGTATTTGCAATAATCGATATCTACTCGAATAATCGATCGAATATATTCGAAAATCAAAAATATCGAACAATCGAATTTCAATAGTTTCAAAAGCCAAAAAATGTGGAATATCCGAACTCGAGTATTTTCGAGATAAAAAATGCCGAATAATCGAATTCAAATACGTTCGAAATAAGAAAATTGTCGTATCGAATCTTATATATAAAGCTGAATGTCTGTTTGTCTGTCTGTATGTCTGTCTGTCTGTCTGTCTGTATGTATGTGTGTACGTATGTTCCGAATAGAAAATTCCATTTCTGAACCGATCCGGACCAAACTTGGCACACATACACTTCGGGCCCCGGCGGGTGTCATAGACTACTTTTCGTCATCGATCGATATCGATTTTATCGATTTTTTGCAAAATTTGAGCTACGGTGCTGGGAGTTGGTACAGGGGGGGGGGGTAATCGAGCATGCTGATTACGAATAAAATAATGACAGGGCCGGGCGGAGCCGGGTAAGCCATCTACTATCGAATATTTTCGACACACTTTCCACTTCAGCCTCCCATCAATATTTTCAGTCCAATATTTGATTGGGCCTAACTGAATTTCCAACAATACTGAGCTAGAATTTGCAACTATAAACTTTTTCGTATGCTTGTTATTCTTACTGGGCGGCAGGAAATTTCATTAAAAAGAAGCTACAAAGAAACTTCAAAGGCCATCATCGCGCGTTCTTTGCGAGATTCAAGGTTTAGCTCGGAGAAGAAGCGGTGTGCACATTGATTAAAAATGATTTTTATATCAAAAAACCACGTTGATGGAAAGAGCCACCTTGACCGCCTGCACATTCTGGAGAAATTTTCTCGCCTCGAGATTAATCTTTTGCAGCAAGACTTGAGCGACTACTTGTTAAGAGGCTCAGCAATAATACAGCGTAAAAGTCTCACCATCCACAATTTAAGAGTGCCTATAAGATGCATGACTTACTCGACTCGTCAATCGGAGTATCTGCACCGATTTCTACATCCTTCGTAGACATTACATATAGGTAGCTTCAAACTCAAATCAATATCCTTACGGATACACGATAAGTGACGACAAACTGAAAAGTGTCACCATTTCATTAGTGATCCCGATACCAGCGGAGAGAACAGAGCATGAAACCTAACCAGAACCGCTCATAACTCGTCGTGAAAGTCACTGAACTCACCGAAGTCTACCGAAATCAGCATCGCATCGCCATACCTTGGTTGAGAGTGGATGAATTCTGATTCTAAGGGCACCGTTCGACTCAGCCAGCTGGAGCACCTTCTCATATATAGAGGTGCTGGATTGGAGACGCTAAGCGATCAGATTTCATAGATTTTTGTATGATAAGAGCCTGCGGCGCACCTAGCGTTTCCAAACGGACACATCTATATCAGAAGATGGGCCAAGCAGAGGTGAGTCGGATGAGACCCTAGGATCTAGGATTCATCCACTCTGGAAGATATGGCGATGCGACGCGAATTCGGTGAAGTCCGCTGGAGTTCGTTGACTTTTCGACTTTTACACATGAAACTCAAATCAATCGCAAGAATACCGTGGTTAGGTACCTCTCATAAAATCAAGAAAACTGTCCGTAATTTTTATTAGAAAAAACATTCGTAAAGGTAACAAATATATATTACAATTTATCACAGTTTTCACAATTATTATCATACATCAATATCATATGGATCCGATGACTTCAGCATTTTTAAGCATCACTAGCGAAGGAAGCTGGATGCTCAGCAACAATATTATTTGCGTACATAGGACACATCTGACAAAAAGAATTATTCCAACTTATGTCTGAGGCTGTTCCCTTCGCATGAAAAACGATAGCATATTCATCATATCGAGATTCGGCTTCCATGAAGATGAATCACATCGTCCAACAACAGAAGCGAACAGCTGTTCCATAACTTGATCCTTAGGATGGAATTGTACATGGGACATTACATCCTCTGCCACAGATCTGAAATTTCCAGTGCAAATAAGTAAGGCGAATACGAAAGTGAGACTTATAACCCACATTTAGGCACTTTAGATACCTGATCTATTTTTCTAGGGAAAGACTGGAAGAGACATTTCTCAAGCAACAGCTCATATGTATAATATATTTGTAGCCCAGAGAACCGACTACAAGTTCTCGCCCAGACCGTATATGAGGTTGATCCGCCCACAAAGATTACGGTCTGGGCAAGAGTTCAAAGTTGATTTTCTCGGTCATAAATGAACATTATGAGCTGCCATTTGGGCGAAGGCTGCTCATTTGAGATTTCTTATTTAGTTCACAGAGGCTCAAATAAGATTTTTAACTTTTTGAGTTACCTCGCTTCACTTCGTGAGACATCATCGCGACACGCAAGAAGGGAAGAGAGCAGTTCCGTTGGAATATTCGGATACTTTCGGCTAAATGTCGTCAATTCCAAAGTCAGCAGAGATTTGTCACGAAGGCTGATTACATCGCCACAACTTGCGATCAGCGAGGTTATGAGGGAGAACTGCAAGATAAAAGACAACTTTTGGGTACTACAAAACGATGAATCAACCATACAGGCTCGTTGATGTCTCCGCTTTCCAGAAGCTGATTGAGCAACGATTCAAGCCGCGTGGAATCGGCTTTCATCCGATTGCCAGCAGAAGCTCGTTCTTCATAGTTTGCAAACGTAAGACGGCTGAAAATATTGCACAACCCTAATAAAATTCAATTTCTCAACCTATAATTACCGTGAATCTATTGCTCTCAAATACTCTCCAACAATTCTAAATTGTAGGTCCATCAGAAGAGCACAACGAGTAGCAGGTCGAAGGTGACGATGGTCAACATAATAATCTTGCACTGTTATACAAATCGTCTCAAGAGCAGAACACCCAACGAGCCTAAACCATAAGATATGAAGAAAACGAAAATATGATGGAAAAACACAATTGTACCATTTTCTAGAGAAAAGCTCTGCAAGATGGGGAGCAAGATCCTCACATATTTCCTCGAGTAGGAAATTGACTCTGAACGAAAAAGAGTGAGAAATGACAGAGATAAAAAAATTGGCTGCTTTTGCCTCAAATGTCAACGAAAAAACATAGAACGGATCTTTACGTCTAAATCAAAAATAAGATTTTCTGCGAAATTTATTTATCCGTATTAGCAGATTAACCTCGTAACAATTTACTTCTCCCTCCACCTAACTGAGGAATCGAAACAATCGAAAATTTACAAAACTAGAAGTCTCCACCACTCAGACAGGGTAGAGCTCGAACTACTCCGAGCCGCCCTTTCTCAAATGAGATTCTCGACTTCCACGTTTTTATCGTTCCGAAGTTTTCTCGCGTCCCTGATTTAGAGCATGAAGTCGAGAATCCGCAAAAGCCCCGTCAATCCCCGTTCCGAAGAGCCCGCGGTGATTGGATGGGCGATCACAAATGGGCGGGCATCACTGAGGGGGCGGTGCCGCCTGAGGGTCCTCGTGCCTCTTTTATTCGGAGCCATTTTCTCGCTTCTGAAGCGACATTTTAGCTTGATAAGGGGGTCCACTATCGTATGCTGACAAAAGTTCAAGAGCCCTAACTTGGTGCGGACAGTGCCTTTGCGTTTACTTTGTAGCACTTAAATATGAACTTTTTTCTGCTCTAAGTATGGCACGGTAAATATTACTTCAAATCTGCTAGCTTTTGAAAAAATGGAAGAAGACCAGACAAGGCCCCACTAATGACACAAATAAAAGCCCACTTTCGCGAAAATTTTTGGAACTATTTTTTCATGTACATGAAGTTCAAGACTCACGCTACTCCTACAGCGCTACTCCATCTTGTATTCAGCTTATCGATATTATCAATGATTTGCTGACGGCCAACTGCACGCCTTCCAGCAACTACAGTATCCTGCTGCTCGTCATGCTCCATGGACAGACGAACCTGGGCAGAATAGCTCTTATCACAGTCTCCAGATGGGCATAATTCAACTAACTTGCTGCATATACTTGTCTGTTGATTCGATGCAAGTGTGGAGATTATTCGCTATTGCGATCTACAATCCAGTGGATTTTGAAGCAAAAAATGAACAAAAAATGTGCTCACCATAGCGGAAGTAAATTCTCTGAAGTTGCTTCTGTTCTCGAAATACTTGTTACGGTAGGCAGTGAACGCCTCTAAAATGGGGCAAGATTTCTCCGTCTTTCAATGTATTAACTATCGCATACCTTTATAACGATTGGCAAAAACGTAAAATTCCTCTATCGTAAGATTGATAACACTGGGTATAACTTCAACGCTCACTTCTTTTGCGAGTGTGACCTAAAAAGCTTGAAACTGCCATACAATACAAAATTTTGACTCTTCCGATGAAAAGAAGCTGACGTTTCCAAGTATAAAATCCGATTAAATGGACTGAAATATTGCTTTCTTGCTGGAGGGCAAGGAGGGACTGAGCGAATTGAGAATCATTTCTGAGCTGGTGAGGCTGTTATTGTATGAAGGCATAATCCTCGTTACAGTGCTAGGGTTTTCAATCCTGTTTAGATGCACCACGACTCCAGATCCAAATTCAAAGTGTTGAACGATTTTCTCGTTTTGAAAATCAATCATTGACCGGAAGGAGCATACAACTGGTTGACGAAAGTTGCAATAGTTGGAACTCAAAAAAGAAGTATCCAATGGATTTGTAGTTATAGAATTGTAAATACGCATGCAGTTCGAGGAGTGGAAATGTAAGAGTCTGACACTGACTCATGGGAGCGCAGCTACCACGTATAAAGCGTTCAGTTTTTCGATGCTAGGGATTCTGATTCGTTAACTCACGATTCTCAAATTTGGTATAGGTACTTGTTTCAGTTGTGATTCCAAAACTATTTCCAACATGTGGGAGATGTACTTGCAACGAAAATTAAGGCGCAAAGAGAATGTAGGCCAAACGAATCTCTACGACCTAGCGTCTCACATCGACGGAAGGAGAGGAGTAGTTGCTTTCCATAAGATGAAAACATTCAAGAGTTGTTCGATGCATTGAGCACGCTAAAAAAGTGAAGATACGTATAAATATGATCAAATTTGGTGCTTTCTCATTTGAACATAAATATAAAATTGCACATGATAAAGTGAAGAGAACTATAGAAGAGATGGGACGGGATTCAACCCGGCACGGCACCGAATATTATCTTAAAATTTTCGTACATTTAAGGTCTGGAAGTACGAATAAATTTTTTTTCAATACGCTGCTTGGATATCGTGTCTAGAATATTAATGGCGAAAACTTCCAAATGAAAGGAAAGTTTCAAATCAGATAATGGCATTTTTTGCCCATCCATGCTTATCCTTGCCCATCCATGCCCAACTTCACCCTTTCAACAACAAATAAAAAGAGGCAGGAAGCGAAGTCACAGAAAGAGACGATTCCAGAGTTGTTAAGCGGGAAGTATAGAGAGAATGACTGAATGGCACAAAGGGCGGAATAAGAGTCAGAATGACAGATGTGCCGACAAAAGCGGTGGTCAAACTGACAAGGGAACCGTGTCGAGTCGAAGTGGCCTTCCGAGATGAGACCCATACTGCTTTGAAGAGTATTAAGCGATGATTTCAAATCTGCCTTCCAAATTTGCCAAGCGCCTCTGGACGCCGAGTTATGACCGTTCCGGAACGAAAAATGAATGCAGAATTTAGGCAAAATTGATTGTTACAATCTTTCCAGCGCTTAGATAAAGCAATGTTTAAGTATTAGCATATTAAGTGAACTGTATCCATTGCATAAACAGCTCTGATACTTGACAGTGGACCATTTGAGCAAATTTGGGCGATTTTGCTTCAGTTTTGCGTTCAATTTTTTGACCTGAAAACGAGCATAACTCGGCGTCCAGAGGCGCTTGGCAGATTCGGAAAGCAGATTTGGAATCACCGATTAATGCTCTTCAAAGCAGTATGTCTCATCTGGAAAGGCCACTTCGACTCGACACGGTTCCCTTCTGAGTTCCAACAAATCGATGATGAAGCGATGTCGATTCAAAATGACCTCTGTGCATCGGAGAACATGGTAAAATTGTACGCAGAGATTAAGACGCCCAGTTTTTCTCGATAAAAACAGAATAGAAATTCTCAAAAATTACCGTATCCCTCAGCATTCCAAACATGATGTTGGGCAGACTAGTGTAGAAGTACCCGAAGTTATCTTCTTCAGGACGTACATGTTTATTCCAGTCCTAAATAGAAATCATATAAAAAACAGTTTGGATGTGAGGATACTCACATCCATTTCGGCGCTCAGGGTCTTTTCGAGCCAGGTCTTCATGTCGCTGCGCGTCATGTCAACGAAACTAAAAAAAGATAAACGTTTGCCAATTTTCAACTATTGTACTGTGTTAAAGTTGTTGGCGCTTTCCACACTGCTTAATAACAGAATTCCACTATTAAACAATTTGACTATATGATGACCAAAAACTGTACTTATGCTCACCTATCATACAGCGAATTGAGCGTAGTCCTCGATAATACTGGAACATCTTCCAACAATGCGGCCGCGTTGATTTGCAAACGACGATTTCCGAGAAGATCTTCACCCCTGAATAACTGCAAGAATCAATTAACTACATTTTTTGAAGAGCTTTGGATGCCAAAGATACGCGATTTGTAAAAGGAAGATTATGAGGAGCAGGAGAACTCCAAACAAGGGACTGCCTTGTAAAGCTTGATATCAATCAAGCATGCGAGGAAACTGGAGCGCACAAAAAAGCATATAAACATGGGTCGCTGCAGCGTGCAACAATTCAGAGATAGTCAAGTGGCTTAGTTTTTTCTATTATTTCAACAAGCCGGTCAAAGGCAAGAAACTCACCCATAAGTTTGTATCCAACTCAATAGCTGAACCAGCTCACTCTTCTCCAAATGCTCCGAAGCAATTTCGCGAAGCTGAAAACTTTCGTAAAACAACTTGCATAAAGCTTCTTTGAGGATAACCTACCCGCTTACAAACACAGTTGTGGTACATATGAACAAATCTATCATAGATTTGATAATCTGGTGGGAAACACGGAACTGCAGCACGAGCCAGTTGTAGGTCGTCTACAATCACTTTTCGGCATACTTCCAGATATCTGAAAACTACTGTAAGGATACAAGGAATTGAAACTCAATTGGGTAATATTACCTAGCAAGCCAGGCCTTGTTCAGAGAGCGATCTTCAAGCTGGTTTCCCTCAACACGACTCCAAACAGTCTTTTCGAGTACCTGAATAAGCTCACTAACCTGACTTCACATAGATAAGTTGATAAGCATGCATACTTTGCAGTAAGAAGTTATGCTGCAAGCACGAGACGAAGATAAGAAAGGGAATTAAAACAAACACTATTCTAGAAAGGTAGTCGATTTAGAGTGAGCTAACAATTCATGCTTAATTTTCAAAATCTCCAAACAAGACGGAGAAATCTACGAAAGGGCTTGAAAGACGAACAGATAATTTTCTGTCACCTCGAAAGCTTTCTTCCTCCATTGTCGAGGCCGTCCGGGTGGCATAAACTCACTACCTTTAGATTTCTTCTCAATGTAATAATTGTCGATACTGAAGGCAACCATATGCGATGAAAATTGAACAAGGTGCAACTTCGGCTTACCGCTCTTCTCGTTCCACTATTCGGATACAAGACACAAGCTCTTGCGGCCCACTTCCAGTCTCGCTTCCCTTCACCATCTCCAATGCGCGGCCAATAACGAACCACATATTGCTGCTAAGATCTGTGACCAATTCATCAACCTTTATGAAGAAGGTGATGAGCAGCTAAAAATGGAATTCGGTTTTATCGAACGCCAACTCAAACTGTCCACTGGAATAGCTTACATTTTTCTCATAATCTTTATTGGGAGAGTTAGACTTGTGCACTTCCAGTAGGAGCTCATCCCTTGCCAATTCCAGATCCATGATGCTGCAACAAATCTGATAACGCTGATAAGACAACTAAAAGCCCTTCACCCACTTCTTATGAGCTACCAGGAGTTTTCCCTGATCTAGCGCCGCTTTAGTATCATGGATCGTTTGGTTGATGTTGAAAATGTGCTTCAGATTTTCCATAGCAGCAGCGTACTGCCCTTAACAGATGACATGGGTCATAAAATTTTCATAATACGCAAAACTTTGAACTGAGCAAAAATAGGCTGTCATAAAGGTTGAGCAAATTCAAGTAATATGATTTAAAAACTACATACCATGTCGGGCGTTGGCATCACGCAGCTCACGCATCTTTTCGCGAAGTTGTGGGAACGGAGTGAGACGCTGTCGTATGGCCGCTATGCTGAAACAACCCACTCATAAATGGAGGGATAAAACTGGAATGAAAAAAAAAGATCATTATTTGCCCCGTTTCGATAGCGCTGATGTCTTCAGCAGCGGTGTGTAGATGCGCAATCGCAGTTCGAATGCCTTCTAATTGTGACTGCACACCAGTACGAAGCATGGCTTCTACGGCAGCCTGAGCATATGACAGGAATAAACAAGTGATTATGCCACGGAAAAACTGGGCCTCTCAGCTGTTGGGTAGAAGTCGCTGTTTTGATGTCTTTTGATAGCAGAAAAGTAAATCAGTCAAACATGATAAAGGATGCAGCCAAGCAGAGTTCTCAAATATAGCTGTAGATTACACCAGCCGGAGACTTAGGGAAAATAAGTGCAATAAAGTACTCAGAAGTGTACAAGTGCCGCACTAATACTCAGTGTGGTTCAAAACATACCTTCTTCCTATCGGCTCTTTTGCGCATTTCCGGAAGCTTTTCTAACTGATCAGGCCTCTGAAGAAGTGAAGCAACTTGATCCAGTGCTGCTTCATACCCATTCTCCTCCATGCCTAATATCAATGAATTATTTTACCTCCTTCCTGACAATGGTTCAGATATTCTCAGACTCTCTCACACTTTTCAGAAAGAGGACAGGAAAGACAATGTATTTTATTCAGCACAAAGCTGTTACAACAATAACAACAGAAAGGCATTAAGTATCATGACCAGAAACCCATATGGGACAAAGTGATTGACTGAGCTTCACCAGAAAAAACTCCGTATTATTATGCAGCGACCATCTTATGACCACATCTTCATAGTTCTTCCTTCTTCTCACTCTCTTTCTTCTGACCAGCTTCCTCCTCCTTCTCCTCCTTCTTCTGACCAGCTTCCTTCTCCTTCTTCTCCTTCTTCTGACCAGCTTCCTTCTCCTTCTTCTCTTTCTTCTGACCAGCTTCCTTCTCCTTCTTCTCCTTCTTTTGAACAACTTCTTTCTCATCCTTCTCCTTCTTCTTTCCAGCGCCGATATATGTTTGACCTTCCAAGATAATCTGCAAACCGCGTTCAAAATGGATCAAAATTGGAATAAAAACAATTTCCCAACCTCAGTTACTTGCTCTTGTTCCAACAAGAAGTTCTTGGCTTCAAAAGCCTGAGATCCTTCTTCAAACATGAAAATGGCACGATCGTCATCAATGAGAAATACCTATGGAAAGCAGCGTTATCGAGGTTGGTATGTAGGAAAAGAAAAAGGATGAAACGATGAAATCGATAAAAGTGAACTATATCAAATCGAACAGAGTTTGAAAAACGAGCCTTAGAGTTGTGGATTTTGAATGCTTACGCACGAACCTGAGAAACCATATGGTTATTATGAAGCATCGAATTAAAGACATCGGCCGTCCTTTCAGTGTAAGGTCGATTCTTCACTGAAGGGTTGGAGGGATCCCGAATATTGACAAACATCATCACTGTTTGACCTTTCTTCGTCGCACTCAGCAGATCTTCGGGATTCTTTGCCTAGAATCGCAAAGCAAGATAAAGCAACAAAGTAAGGCGTAAATTCCAATCCTACTTTTGCTCTGATGCTGTCTAGATCCATTTGTTTTTGTGGTCGCTTGTGTTCCGGCAACTCATCTTCATCAAGTTTGTCCTCATCATTCTCCTCCCATTGTTGGTATAGTCGTTCTAAGTCTGCTTCACTGAAAACACATTAATAAAAAGTTGCTCTAGCTAGAGTAACCTGGATTGGATGATCATGCCGATCGTATAGTATCTGATAAAGAGTCATTTAGCAAGTAAAACATTCGAACCAGTTTTGGATGTCTTCTTGTTCTCATACGGCATACCTATGCGCTATTCATCGCACGCAGAGACAGGGCGCCACTGCGGACGCTGTCGGTGTCTTCCAAATCAAACACGCTCTCATTGCTCTAGCCATCTGATGTCTCCCCCAAATATGTACTATCTTGATCGGACGCAACAGCGCCAACTCTCTGCTTGCGATGATGTCATGGTGACAAGATTTATACCATGTGCGAAGTGCTGGCTGAATGGTGCATCATGGCGCGCTGCGTCGCCGCAAAGACTCTCAAGATGATGTCGTTGTTAAAAAATGCAGGCATGCTTCCATGAAGAAGAATGAACGTACCAAAAGTATTTTGAATCAGTACTAAGACATTAGATCTCTAGATCTTCAGATCATCTAAAAGGGAAGAAGATCTTGATGTATCGCACTCACTTGTAATCGGTGAGGTCTTTTTTCTTCTTTTTAGCAGCCGACGATTCCTTGGGTTTCACGTGTTGACCCGACAACACCTCAAGCATCAAGGTGATAGCGATGAGAGCGATGATCGATTGACGAAGCATCTTATATATCCTGCAAACGATTCAAGACATTAAAAAATAGAGGGTAAAAATCGTTGAAAAACAAGCGAAGACTCACCGATTCGTACGCAAGATTCATAGCCACGAGAATGATATAAAGAGAGCTTTTCAGCCTCATTTCGGAAGCAATGCGATGGAATAAAAGGATTGAACGGCGCAATACGTGGGAATGGAGCAGAAAGCGAACGCTAGCAACTTTCATCCTGTGATCGAGTATACTCAATCACAATAGTTCATCTCAAATTTTTTTTTACTTCAGTCATCCTCATTTATGTTAGTGATGCTCAAGGAGAACTCTTAGACAGTGACAAGTAATCTCAATTGGCAGCATCAAAATAATAAAATAATTTCCGTTTGTAAGCTCCGAGATCATGTTCCTAGAGACCAGAGTGTCCCTTTGCAGAGATTTTCACTGTTCTATTTGCCTTCCCCGTGCTCGCGTCAGGACGACTTTGAAACTATAGTCTGTGACCTGCAGCAGCATGGCTGACATTTGGCAACTTTTAGCAACATCTTGGCATCGATATAGCCAAATCGTTGCTGCGAACAAGTATGAACAGATCCAAAATCTGTGTAGAGGCTGGTTGCGGACTTTCCCTGATCATCAGTATAAACTTGTTAAACCTTCACTTTAGGCCTCAGGCAAAGTTCACACAATTTGATCGCCGCGATTGATCGCGACAAGCCAATTGTAACAATATCATTGCATGCCGATCTTCTTGCATTTCGGTTGTGGTAGTTGCCCAACACGACTAATCGTGACTAACTATCACAACCGAAATACAAGAAGATCTACAAGAGTGCCGTCCGTCTACAACATCAGTGTGCGGCTACCGTCCGGTACTTCGGTGCGGACTACTAACATCGATATCGCGGTGAATCGAGGGCCTCCGAAGAAGACGAAACGTGTCGAAACGTAAGGCAATAAAAGATTCACCGTAAAAATTTGGGCTCGGCAAAACATCAACATATTCATGAACACCAATGCCCAGATTCAGAGAAGAGAGGACTTGGAGTTTACAAGAAGATCGCCATGCAATGAACTGGTAACCCTTGTAGCGACTGAATCGCGAGGATCAAAGCGCGTGAACTCTGCCCGAGGACTCAGAGTACTCTTTCTCGTACTTTTTTGCCATCAAAAACCGCCACGTTTCCAGCTGTCACGACTCCGCCTCTATACGAATCGTGAAGCCGATGATAGTTGCATGTTGCCGACATGTTAGTCATGCGTGGCGCGGGAGACGGTCGAATGGCGCGTATTGATCGATTGTCACTAATTAGAAGGAGCAGTGAAAATTTCAAATTTAGTTTGCTACTTCCGGGATTTCAACTATAATCCTCCGTTACTATCTCTGGTAAGATGACAGAACTTTCGGATTCTGGAAAACCTCGTTTTTGTGGAGTACATATCACTTTTGGCAATGGCGACTGCCGAAACGCGCGCCTTTCGACATACACCCCAAATTGGGATATTGGAGCACGCGTGCGATTAATCCTTTTAATATCGGAGTAGTTACCAAAGAAGATCGGTATTGAGTCGAGCTACGTATGACTAAGATATCGTCCCTTCCACATTTACTGCTACCCCTCTTGCGTGGCCAAAATGTTCTGCCAACATGTTGTGGCATGTTGCAAACATGTTGTTGCCACGCTGCCAACCTGTTAGCCACACGTGGCAGGTCTGAAACGCAGACCAAGGGTAGCAGCAACTGTGGAGGGGACTATACATGCACTACGCGCGCAGTATTCCACGCGTGCTCCAATATGCCAATTTGCCGCATATCCGCTGCGCTTTGGCAGTTGCGGCGTTCAGGCGGGTTCGGGCAGATTCGGACGTATTTGGGCGGGTTTAGACGGATTTCGACGTATTCGGGCGGGTTTGGACGAATTCCGGCGCGTCTGAACGATCCCTGAAGAAGAAATGCGCTAGTCCGGTGGATATCGCAATCACCAGTACTGAAGGAATGACGGCCGTAAACAGCATACTGATTGCTTCCACAATCGAAATTTCAGTCAAATTCAAGTCTTCATCTTATACCTTCACATATCATGACGTCGCCAAGTAAGCTTGCTGTGTGGAATGGGTATTATTTCCGTAACCAGCATGTCAGATTACCTCTAAGAGCTCCAAAGTCATTACCTACCGCATTTTCTAGTGTTTCGCAACGTCTAGAAAGCGTGATTTTCAAACATGATTAACTTGGCTTCAAAAGTGAAAATAGTCACCTTTTTTACACTCATAACAAAGTAACGTTCTCTACAAGTCTATGCTAGAAATCAGGCTTTATATCGCTTTCAAATAGTGAAGTAAGAAGTGCTGCCAAATTTCGAACCGGCGCGTTCTTCACATTAAGTGCTTTAACTTTACGGATTACTACAAGGCCGAAACAAGTCGAAACAACATAAACACTTATTGTGAAATCTTCGAGGATTGAGCTAGCGAATCACATAAAACTTGGCTAGAAAAGCTTCCTCGAAAATAAAGTTAATGGGGTCAGGCGCAACCCCTCAAAAGGTCAGGCCGCCTGAGCTTTTGAGGGGTTGCGCCTGACCCCCTTAACTTGCCTTCAGCATTCAAAAATTGCTCCTTTTTAGTAAGAGTATTGAGCGCAAAGCCTCTTCTTGCTATATTGAAAATTTGGAGCCAAACACTCCACCCCTGCAAAAACTATAACTCTGAAAAGAGGTCTATCCATTCAAAACTTGCCGTCAAGTTGCATGTGGTTGTGCAATCGCAGAAAGTGAGCCTACGGCCAAAAAACAAGAACCCTCCAGTAAAGGCTGGTTTTCTTCAAAATATCACAATCTAAGGTCCTGGAGGTGAAGCGGAGGGGTCATTCTAGGGGCTTTCACAGGGGGGGGGTCGTTTTTGAAGGACTTGTGCCTGACCTCTTTCTCAATCCTGGTTGTTTCATAGCTACTGCAGTCGCTGCAGCAACGACAGACTAATATTTATTGCCCGCCAACACATAGTGCATCCCCCAAAATTGTCCCCATATGAACCACCAACGTGGCTGCCCTTGGACAGGGCCTGGCACGGGTTGAAATGACATGCTGGAGATCGGGTGAAAAAAAATCAAAGAGGATATCGTTGTACCTCAGGTTGTCATTAGGTTGTCATTTGACAACCTAATGACAACCTGAGGTTGGCAAAACTTCCATTTCACATAATTCTTCAATATTTTTACATAAATCTGTCCTACACTTAAAGCTTAGTATATATATATATTGACATTTTGGTTTCAAACCTCCTCCTCTCCTCATTGCTAGAGCCACAAATAGCTTCAGCAGCCCCGTTTTCTAAGGTAGAAAGCGTCTGATATTGCACCGTTGCTGATTATCTATCTAAGCTTTGGGTTTTTGGTATACTAGAGTAGGTTGTTGTTGTTGTTGTTTGCTCCCAGTGTTTGTACACAGGTGTTTAGGAACGAGTGAAAGAGTCGGCGGCTGGCGGAGGTTTTTTTGAGGAGTTTTACGAGATAGAGGAAATTTTAGACCGCAGTGAAGTTAACGACAACCTCTTTCACTTGGTAAGTGTTGTATGCTTTGCTTGTGGAATTAATGATACAGGTAATATCTGTCTCCATTGAAGTTCGGCAGCTGTTGGTTTGACTTTTGTTTTTTGTAAAGTTTTCTGTAAAGCTGAACTTCAGAAATGAGCGTGAAACTGCTTCGAAGCTTGTCGCAAAAAATCAATCTTTTGACATGCTCATTTCATGCGTCGACAAGTGCAGCTGATCATTGCTTAGCCGTAAGTCTTCCTAATATGTTTGTTGTAGAATAATTCTTCTGACTTTTGCCTACTCAATGATTTGTTTAGCGTGCTCTCAAAGTTGCTGTTATTGGTGCACCAAATGTTGGAAAATCACTGTTGACGAACCAGCTAGTTCGTGCCGCTGTTTCATCCGTAAGCAGCAAAATGGATACAACCACTCAGGCATGTTTACATTATGTCGATTACGAGAGTGTCTTTGTTACTGTGATTGTAATCCCTTTCGGGCTCTGTCAATAGATAGAATGGCTCTCTAGCCTCTTACCATGACTCCAATACACAAAATCACGAAACGCTTTATTTCAACAAAAAAAAACAATATTGACAAAAAGGATTAAAATTGAAAAGATGAATGATGGGTGAGTAAAAACAAGAAACTATCCGGAGCTAGAAGACTTCCTCGGATCGCTCAGCGCCGCATATATTCCTAAAATGCGCGCCTGAACGGTCGCTTGGCGGCTCTTTCGTAGGTCGCCACTCCTGATTTTCACGACATGCTCCCCCCTTCGGAAGTCAATGTCCTCAGCGGCTGGTTCCGTTTGAGCTCTGGCAACGCTCTATCGGATATCTGCCTCGAGACTCTTCTTCTGACACACTCATACAACATTTTTGCACAAGCATGAGGCATCCTTCCGGGGCTCCTGCTTCAATAAGTATTTTGCCGCTCTCCACCTTGGTGTTCGCTGTGGTCACGCAGTATCGTGGCTTTGCTTGTCTTACAAGGGAACGATCCCAACTTAAAGGCAGTGGTTCGGCAAATCTCAACCTAGTCAAATTTGCGCTTACCTGGGGTTCTTCAATACGCTGATCCCGAAAATCCACTTTTGAAAGCTTGAAAACGGCGAAAATGAGCGTTTTATAATGCCCTTCCCTTTGATATTGGACGATTGGAGCAAGGCCGATGACGCTAAATCGTTCAGGACCCAATGGTTATGGCGTTGCGGCGGGCAGCCTCCAATGTTGAGAAGGAAATTGCCAACTCGTCCAGATGCGTGTAAGATTGGCCTGCGCGTGTAAGTTCGAGAGCGATTTTCTCGGCAAGAAAAGCATTCTGTGCAACCGGGATTGCACTGTTTTCATAGTTGGGCGATAAGGAACCTACCGCGTTAAAATCCCGAGTTGTTGGATTTTGCCGATCCACAGCCTTTTAGGTGGCGAATTGGTATGAACCGCATATCATTAGATGCGTCTTAATGAGCTGATTCCAATTCTACCTTTCATATCTGCGGAGTCGTTCTCTGCAAAAAGTTATAAGCGTTTGAAAATGTGAACTCACTGGGGTTTCAATGCATAATGTGCTTCAGAAACCAACTTGGAGTGTATGGCTAGCATGATACTGAGTGTACTTATTTCAAGGAATGCTCACATTCAAAAGAAACACGAATAAGTGTTTTTGAACAACTAAAAAGCAACTAAAGTTCGTTAGTAAAAGCTATGAGCAATGAAAGTACAAATTTGTAATAATACAGCGCCATACCTCGAGAATTATTCAAAAACACTTATTTGCGTTTCTTTTGAATGTGAGCATTTCTTGAAATCAGTACACTCAATATCATGCTAGTCATACACTTCCAAATTGGATTTTGAAGCACATTATGCACTAGCTGGCTTACCCGGCTCCGCCGTATCCGGACCAAACTTGGCAAACATACACTTCGGGCCCCGGCGGGTGTCACAGTCCACTTTTCGTTATCGATCGATGTCGATTTTACCGATTTTTATCGATTTTTTTGCAGAGTTCACCTACAGGGTAAGGAGTTGGCACAGGGGGGGGGGGAAGTGAGCATGGGGATTCCGAATACAATATTGGTTTTCGGGATTATCGATTACTTTTATCGAATTTATCGATTTTTTGAAAATTTGAGCTAGGGGGCTGGAATTTGGCACAGGGATGTAATCGAGCATGCTGATCACCCCCCTTGGGGATGATCAGCATGCTCGATTACCCCCCTGTGCCAACTCTCAGCCCCCTAGCTCAAACTTTGCAAAAAAAATCGATAAAATCGATAAAAGTAATGGACGATCTTGAAAACTAATATTGTATTCGTAATCTGCATGCTCGATTACCCCCCTGTGCAAACTCCCAGCCCCGCAGGTCAAACTTTGCAAAAAAAATCGACAAAATCGATAAAAGTAATCGATAATCCCGAAAACCAATATTGTATTCGGAATCCCCATGCTCACTTCCCCCCCCCTGTGCCAACTCCCAGCCCCATAGCTCAAACTTTGCAAAAAAATCGATAAAATCGATAAAAGTAATAGATAATTCTGAAAACCAATATTGTATTCGGAATCCCCATGCTCGATTACCCCCCTGTGCCAACTCCCAGCCCCGTAGGTGAACTCAGCAAAAAAATCGATAAAAATCGATAAAAGCGATGTCGATCGATGACGAAAAGTAGCCTATGACACCCGCCGGGCCCGTAGTGTATGTGTGCCAAGTTTGGTCCGGATCGGTTCAGAAATGGAATTTTCTATTCGGAACATACGTACACACAGACAGACATACAGACATACAGACAGACAGACAAACAGACATTCAGCTTTATATATAAGATTGAAACCCCAGTGACTTCACATTTTCAAACGCTTACAAGTTTTTGCAGAGAACGGCTCCACAGATATGAAAGGTAGACTTGAAATTATCAAATCTACTTTACATAGCTCATCAAGACGCATCTAATCATATGCGGTTCTTACCAATTCGCCACCTTAAGTTGGGATCGTTCATTTGTCAGTAGCGTTTGACCAAGGACCTTCCATAATTCCGTGAGCCTCTTCCATTCTTCCCCGGTTTTCTCCACGACAGGCGGCCAAACCGTTACTACCTTTCCGCCCTCTTCAAATTGCTGCATACACATCTACATTAATGCGCATATGTCGCACTTCATCGCCGTTTGTCCCTTGGCCATACTATTACCCATGTCTTATGTTCTTTCCATTACTGCAGGACCTCTCTGAGCTGCACGAAAGTTGCCGCAACTCTCGTGTGTACGTGTACGCGCCGTTTGGGTCCGTCCCTCTCCAGCAGAGTTGCAGATAACGGTGCCGCAAATGCCGTTCCTCCCTCCTTCATAAGTGTATGTCCTTTCTCCTCGCCTTCGACCTCAGCCTTGGCTCTTCTGAATCCCGTTCGTAGATTTTGTCGAACTCGTAGTTGTCGATTCTCTCGTGCCTCTTTACCCCCTCATTTGCGCAAATAAATTCGGTCCAATCGATACACCTTTTGTATGTCATTGTAGAAGTTCCCGTAGTCCCTCCGGGTCCATGCAGACTGCTCCGTCCTTCCAGAACTTGATTTTTGAGGCCATGTCGATATCCGTTCTGGTGAAAATGCTCGCAGCTTTCCAGGCCGACCACAAATTTCCCACCGGCACCTTTGCGAGCGCTTTTGGGAACTTGATCCCTTTCAGCTCGTCTAAACTGACTTTTTCACGCAGCCTTTCTTACACTGATACTCCAGGAATGATATCCACGAAAGCCCATTTAAAAATGGGCTTTTCGCGAATGAAACGCGAATAAAATGGGCTTAGTCCCTGCGATGCGATAAGATATCGCGTTCGCGAATCCATTCATTCCATACAAAAATGCTTCAGCAAACCTTTCTTCAACTTGCCTCAACCTGTTTACTCACTCTTGCAAACTCATTCCCACCAAGTGGTCGATGTCTAGGCTGATCTAACTTTACTATATCAGTCACGTGGACACTCCGTTCTTTTCCATTTCATTACACCTCATAGAATGCCATTTATTAACTATGACTATGCATCTAAATTAGTTTCAGTCCATCTAAAATCCAAGTAATATCAGGGCATTCGCTCTTCAAAACTTCTATGAATCTGCATTGAATCAAATTCGTATGTGGAGTTTCCAGCAGAAAGCAAACTTTGGCTAGACTTGCATTGCAATTTGTGAATCAAAATGTTTATCTCACAAAAAACCTTGTACTACACTACAACACAAAGGCTTTTAAGCTGGAAAAACTTTGGATCTGCAAAAAATTGATGGCTTCTCATGCTGTACTTTAGCAACCCCAAAACTTTGATGCAAATATGGCGTTTGATATATGACTGTTTTTCTTGCATCAACTGTGTGAATTTGAGGGGTGGATACTAGAATGATTACAAAGTCACTGAATTCAATTTTGCGTTTAGAACTTATCTAGGCATATACTCTGATCCCAAGTCATATGTGCTTTTGATGATCAAAGTTGCTTAGGGGAAGTGCTACGAACAACTGAAGCAAAGCGGACTTATATCCGTCTCAGCATATAGGGAATGCTTGAACTAATGCCTTTTGCTATTGGCAACCTTATTATAGATTTTGAACAGAATTAATTAACCGGTTGTTGGAAAAGCTCTCGCATAATCCAGTATCAATCAGGTAACCTTTTTTCTCTACCCTAATGTGATGCTCTATATTCGAAAATAAAACAGAGTTCCTTCGACGTTTTGGTTATTGAAAAGTGTTTTCGGTGACAAAATGACGTATCGAGAAGATTTTATTCATAAAATGACTTGTTTAATTTTGGTAAATCGCGATTTTTTTAATATTTCCATACGAGAGCAAGAGGTGACTAATGTATAGACTTTAGCTAGTAAGAAATTTTTCACAGATTATTCTGACTTGCTAGCGGTACTTCAGTACTTCTTGCTACCAAACTCAAAATCGCGAATTTTGAATTGCCGTCTTTGTGTCTGTCTGTCTGTCTGTCTCAACTGTCTGCGAAAAATTTTTTTTCATGATTTTCAAAGCATTTCATGGCTGTTTGGAAAAGATAGTTTTTTGGCCCTCCTAAAGAAGATAAAACTTTCTCCGTTCGCTTAGTATCTCAAAATGGGCTAGGGAACATATTCTCAAGAAATCGCAATTAAAAATATGCAAGAAGGTCAAAAATGGGCTAAGCCCCAGCACATCTGGCTGCTGGGAGTAAAATGGGCTTATCAGAAAGGTGAGAGAGAATGAACATGGAGGTGAACTCCATTTTGCCCCATTCTAAAATGAACTTTTGACGTCATCTTCCGCGAGCGATAGCTCAAGTAAGCTTGAATCATTTTCATTTCACCGCTTTGCCTCGCGGTTGCGATGGGATGAAAAATTTTGGATATCGTAAGCGGGAGCCGATTTCGACCACTTTTTAACGCGAACGAATAAAATGGACTAAG